CAAAAAATGCTAAACAGTATCAGTATGCTCAAGATAAATTGTATGTGCCATAAAATAAATGCATGTTGTAATCATAGTTCATTTAAAGAAAGTTATGCTTTTGAGTTTGAATGTATCATTTAATCAAAATAGCAGAGCATTATTTTTATTCATCTGCATTTAATAGCAATTTTGCAAAAGGTAATGATATTTTGTTCTCTTCTTTGTATGCAATAGCTTCACATTAAAAGTCTTCTATAAAAGCATTCTCCTTAGGCTGATGATTGCTTTGCCAGAATCGCAATAAATCGATCAGTTATGTTTCTTAGATCTAGAAAAGTTTTCTTCAAATATTTATAGCTATTTGAAAATTATCTTATTTCCACACTTAGGTACAAAACTAACAAATTTTTTTTTTTCAAATTTTCTGACCTGTTAAGTGAGTATATAAAACATAAATATTCATTTGATAATTTTAATTATTTACAGAAGAAATTTCTTTTGCCATTATATGTAGTGTATAATCTTTGTGTGTTGTTAATCAAAAAAGAAAGTATAGAAATCATTAACTCCTCACATTTCCACGACACCTGATCAAGTACATCAAGGAATGCTCTAGAGAAATAAGATTTCACTGATTATATTATGCTGTTTTCCAAATCAATGATCCTCCTAGTTGTATATAGCAGGCAAGTAAATATAAATCAGCCTAGCAACAGTCATTATTTTGATCACAGTCATTATTATAACCATTTGGCCGCCACTGACATCTTATATTTCAAAAGTAATCTCAAATGACTTTCCATGGCTAGGATAAAGGGAAATGATGTTCAGAGACACATCACAATATACAATGCAAAACAAAATTAGGAAATTCCTCCTAATCACCAGAGGACAGAACATTTGCTGGTAAATATGTAGCACAATATAAAAATACATTTTAGAAAGAAATAAGTGAAAAATTTTATGTAATGTAAACAATTATCATTTTAAAGAAACTGATTTATTGTTATAAAAAATCCTTATTACCCATATCTTTTGAAGAAAGAAAACTCCTCTTTCAGTCTGAAATGGCCATACGCCTTATTTATTAATAAGGCATGTGGTCACTTCAGATTGAAAGATGGTTATATACAAGGCAAATTAATGATGTTTGGGGGAAGTCTTCTTCATTCTTTAAGAAAAGTACTTTCCAACTGACAAGTCTGTCAGTGGAGGTTGTAGTCTTATAGCAATGTAATGTATTTGAAACATGTTTGAGTCTGATTCAAATCTAGAAAAAACACCTACACCATATATTCTTCAAGCATCTGGTTCACAAAGCATGCAGGATGAGGTTGGGTATTGCCATACATGAAAATAGTTGAATCATTGATGGCAGAAGTATATATATAAGGCATAACCAAGGGTTTTGGACTTCCTTTCTGTAACTATGCAGCTGGTCAGGATCGTTGAATTCATGAGTGCGGCTTTCTCATGCTTGACATAGTCAAAGCCTTTGACCACGTGTGGCATAACGGATTTATCCACAAACTCACTACTCTCGATCTCAGCATGTAGATCATTTTAATTCTAATCTCTTTTCTCAAAGAGCGATCTTTTAGTATTAAGCGGGTGAGTACTACACTATTGACAAAGCTATCCGAGCTGGCGTCCAGCAAGGTTCAATCCGTAGCACAGTTCTCTGTCTCATTTGTCAGAGATTTCCCTATATTCGATAACAACCCAAATAGTATTACAGTATGCTACGCCGATGACACGGCAATAATCTCCATCTCACTCAATCCGGGTTTCGCCATCACTAAGGCTTCTCTAGAGTATACAGGAGCCTTAGCCCAATCCTTCTTTAGCCATTGCCTGCATTCAGAACAGGATGCATGAGATAGGAAACTGTTAGGCTATTATTGAAAGGCTGTTATTAGCAAATGATGGTAATCATACTAAGGTTATAACTTGTGAGAAATCTTGACCAGGTTGTTTTTCAAAAAACTTACTTTTCTTGCAATTAGATTAACAAGCATGCAGTTACACTTTAGCTCATTCCAGTGGTGGAGGACACAACAAGCCATTGATTCCAACCATTTTTCACTGAGTGAAAACTGGGACTTGTTTGATATTATCATTTCTAATATGCATTTTGAACTGTTTTCTATTGTTTTTTTCACACTGCAAAGGATCTTTTGATGGTATGCGAAGTTAAAAGAATTTGCACATTATATCGAATTTTTAAAAAAATAATGGATAGGTTTTAATGAAATTTAGTATGAATATACATTTATAATAGAGAAAGAGATGTTCTTTCCAAAATAATTTTATATATGCAAGATTATCAGTAAAGCTCATAGTGCAGTGATGTTTAAAATCTCCGTTGTTATATCGAACTGAAAATGAATCTAGGGTATAGATCTCTCTCACAGCCAGACAGGTCGAGTAGCGTGACGGCATACTGGACAGGAGGCAACTGAGGAGTCTGCATTTGATCCCACTCCTGCAACAAGGCAGTTTTCAACTCTGGAATGGTTCGCAAGGGGGAATGGTGAGATGACATTGCCTCTCAAGATATGCTATAAGGTTAAGGTCAGGAGATCTGGCTGGCCAATTCATGTGGCGAATATTCCGACTTTTCATATAATCGTCAACCAGCTGAGCCTTATGGGCAAGTATTGTCATCCATTAACAGGAACTCAGACACAACTGTGCCCCTGAAGAGTCAAATGTAGGCTTTTAAGTTCTTTTTGTCTGTACCTCATAGCAGTCAAGAAGCCTTTATCATACAAAAATATATCATCAAGACATTACATGAAGTTATATTTTCCCCTACTATATTTCACATATATGCACAAGTAAAAAATTTAAGCTGCGATAAATTATTTATTCCATGTGTGTGTAAATACTCCATATTTTGAATGTTTTTATAATGAATATCCTCTATCAGTTTAAAATAAGAAATGAAATTTTTTGTTTTACCTTCAAAATATTTTTCAAGAATAATATATTCTTGAAAAATGAAATAGCTTTGTAAAAGTTAATATCAATTAATGAAAGTGCTGTTGTCAGCTGGATTTGAACAGCAGACTTCCAATTTTGAGGCAATATATATAGTAATCAGATTTGCATAATTTACATGTGTTCCATAGAACCACTTCTTAAAAATATTTTTAATTCAGTCAATATTATGTTAAAATTAACTGTAATACTTAGTGATATATGATTAGTGCAATTAATTTTAACTTGCTTTGCTTTGTACAAGTACTGTAACCACGAAAAATTTCGAGAATCACATTTCAAAGAAAATATCCATTTTGACCTCTCTCTCTCGAATCTGAATGATGTTTCTGCTTCACATTATGGACAGAAGGATTTTTATTCCAAAACAGATCGTAAAATGGATTTAAAATAGATTCAGAGGATATTTTTTCATGAAATCTGTATGTATCTCGCATAATTAAAAAACTAATAGCCTTAGAATGTGGAAATTTTGTATATGGAACTGCTATAACATGTAATTGTCCACCTCTTTTTTGGGTTGTAATCGGTCGCACCAAACGTATATTCATTCTGTTATCCAGGTCGGTGACTTCAGTTTTTTATTTTTATATGTTGGTAAATATAAAAGATAAATACATTTTGCTTTAAAAATGATTGAATGATGTTGTTCTTGTTCCAGTTAAGGTTTTAATGCTTTTAAGTAATATGCATCGAATAGTTGTAGAATTATCAATAGTTTAAAATTTAAGTGTACTAGGCCTAACGAGACCATCATTTGTCTACATTTGAAACTTAGTAAAACAGTGAATTAAGTCAGTCTGTGCACCAAGTTCAAATGTCTTTTTACGAGTAGGATCAAAAGCAAACTTTCAGTTTTGGTACACCAAAAATTTTGTCTTTCTGCCTGTTAGCCGACTTACTTGTTTTTGCATAGAAACTCAAATTGTATTTGGTGTTTGTTTTTCTGTAATTTACAATTTTTACGTATTTTTGCCGTGCCATGAAGTGTTGTTGCTGTCTTGTCCATGAATTTGATGGACGAATGGTTGCCAAAGCCTCAAGGAGGTTGGACTTCTACTTCCACCCCACTTTTGAGGGACAGCACTCCAGGGGATGGTCCGAGGGTCTTCCATCCTCTGCCCTTGAACCAAACCACACAAGAGAACTCTTGGCTCACCATATATTTAATGTTCCCCTATGTGTCAAAGACACTATACATTTACAAATATCCATGCTTTCTCCGGGATTTGAACTCGAGTTCTTCGTACTGCAGTAGGTTTCCCTAACTACTATACCATCTGGCCAGCACGAAGTGAGAACTGAATTAATTGAATGAGAAATAAATCTAAATGAAATGCAGCAAACAATGTGTATAATTTAATAGGCCGTACAAGAAAGTCCATCAAATATTTTATTTAGGCAGTGAATCAGCTGTTATTTATTTATTTTTTTTAATCTTAACAATGTGTATCTTGCCAAATAGGATATCTACACTTGTAGCAAATAGAAGATTTTAAGTAATATGAATGTTGCTTAGAACTTAAAGCTTGATTTTTGATGTTTATTTCTAAAGGCATGATAGGCGTTTGAAACTATATTAATTTTAAGAAGATCTACAAATACGGAAAATGAGTGTATTAGCAAGTTAAGATTGTCTGCCTACACTTCCCTTGTCTGCCTACAATTTAAAGACTTAATTCTATAGACCTAAATGCACTACTATTTCAAAATATTTCTCTAAGACAAATTTAAATAACTTTATTACAAATTTTGCATATAAACTAAGTAGAGAAAATTCTCATAAAAGTAACTATAACTATAAAGATAAATATAAAAATTTCAGAAAATGACAATGTTTCAAATGTTAGTTGATTATAAAAAATGGCATTTTATGTTCCTAAATGAGTATAAATTTTCTTATGTGTTTTGTTACTGTAGGTCACTGGTTCATTTATCCATCATTAGGCATTCTAACTTAATTTGTGATTTTTCATCTTATGTATAATATATTGCTGTAAATTTCACTCAGGATGGTAAATAAATGTTTATTGAAGATTTTTATTAGTTCATTTCAGTTATTTCACATAATATAAAATCTATAAAAGTTTCATAACATTTGATGTTCATATTTCAGTTAATATACATAAACAGTGATACATCAAAACTAATTTTTAATGTTATGTCTAGGAAAATATTAACAGCTTAGTTTATGTGGAATTACACTTTTGTAGTTAAAATGCGTAAATAACTTTTTATTTAGCTAAAATAATATGTATATTATTTTTTACACTCCAAAATTATAACTTAGATCACATTACCTGTATCTATAAGCTGTTAATAACATTCATCAAGTTTTTAAATAATGAACCACCAACAAATACCATACCTAATAGATACAATCAAGTTTGTTAAACTTAACAAGCAGTTTTTTTAATCTTCTTGAAATATAAATTTATAAACATTCAAAAAAGTATAGAATAAATAGTTAAAAATTGGAGCATACAGCTGGACGAAGTGATCACAGAGATAAAATTATTCAATAGTACAAACAGGAAAACAGTCAGTAAAGGATGGAACAAGCATTTGTGGAAAAATATTTGGCATTTTTACATACTTTATGAAGAACACATATTGTAGTTCATGAACACTGAATATTATTTTACAATGGCATTTCTTCTCTAGTCTGTAAATAACTGCAGCATTTCACGGAAAAATGAACACAAATTTAACAAAAATGAAGACATTTTTACCTGAATTAAAACCTTATTAGATCACATATAGTAAAAAAATACAGTCTTAATAAATATTTGATAAAATAAAATATTTATTTTTAAAAGATCAGCACAAAAAGCTTTAAACTAAATGCAATGAATACTTTAATTATTGGTGGATACCACTATTGCATTAGACAATTATGTGTTTGCTTATAAAGTAATTAAATGATAATTTAGGTGATTTTTATAAATCATCTTGAATTTAATAATTCTTTCATATATAAAATTTTACTTAACAAAATATAAGACAATTGCTTAATAATAAAAAAAAAAAAAAAAAAAAAAGAAGAACAGAAATTAGAAATGCTTTCCTCCTGCATTATTACATAAAATTTCTGTTTATGAGGAGTTCCTGGTTTGCAAAATGTTTCAAGTATTAGTGAATTCATTAATATGCATCAAATAAGCAGACTGCAAAGAAAATCAGAAATGAGATCAGCAAAGAAAATGCATTCAGGTATCACAAACAGTGTTCGGAGGGAATACTTTTTAATGAAAAATATAAACATTTCCACATGAAACTGCACAGGAATGACTGATGTAAAATTGGCTCTTAAAAGTACTTTGACAGCAATTTATTCAAAAATACATACATCTGAATAACAAATGGAATAAAAACTGATACTATTAAAATTAATGATAAAAATAATTGCTCGTTAAGAATAAAATCCATACTAAACATGGAATGCTTAAACACAAGAAATATATTCAAAATAAATACAATAAACATTTTCTTGCAAAGTTTCACATATAATTAAATGTTAAAATTTTCAGAATGTTATTAAAAATTCTACTACTGCACAGTGCGTGAAAAAAAAAAAGTGCAGAATTCTAATTCTTCTAGTAGAACACTACTAGAAGAGTAGTGTTAACGAAAACTACAACAAATAAGAAGTTTTAATATAACTAACAGATTTTTAAGCACATATTTAAAAAAGAATTCACGCATATACACTGAGAGAGAGAACATAATTATTCAGCAAAGTGTGTTATGTGTATATACTATGCTGTTTTCTTGATTCTAGCAATGATATTACAGCAATGAACAAGAATGCAGCATCTTGTCGTATAGCACACATTTATTCAGCACTGTGCTGGGTAAATATTGTGTAGTTTTTTAATCTACGGATGGCATTATAACAGTGACAACAGTATTTTGCCATTTTAAGGTTATTTATACTGCCTATATAATTCAATCATGGGCATCATTGTTAACTATGCAAGAATATTTTAATACCATTTCTGTTAATCCGCAGAATAAAAAAAATAATAATGTTTATTTGAAATTTACTTTCCTAACTTTGATATTTCGACTTACCATACTTTAATGTTTCTTATTTCGATGGTGTATTACGTTATTCTCTATTGTTGATGTTATTTAAAATGTTAATAAATGCACAAATTAAACACATTATTTCAGAAGAAAGAAAAATATTTCCTATAGAAGAAATTTTTTAATACATAAAAGTGTCATTAATGCATAGCTATAAAAATAAGCTAATTCATGATTCCAAAAGAATTCAGAATATTTTAACTATATGATAATCGTTTTTTTACTGAGTAAATTCTCTGAAACTAATTATATTTCTCTTTCCCCCAAAATATTATCTATATATCTGTTAGAAATTAATTATTAAAATTCTATAACATATTCTTTCCTAGAATGATTATCCAAAAGAAGAGGATACATAGAATTTCGAGTATTAAGTATAAAAATTCAAATATTTCTAAAGCAGATCACATGAACAACAAAAATTATTCTTCCATATTTTAGGAATTTGAATTTTTATATTTAAAATTCCTTCAAGAGAAAAAAGAAGAAAAAAAGGCACCCAACGCTTTAGAGAATTATATTAGTGCTGCAGATTATGGGAAGTTTAAATAGTATATATATTATGTGAATAGTATTCTAATAAAGAATAATTTGGCACACCACTCTTCTCTGATAAAAAAAAATTGCTATTCATCTGCACACATGCACTATAATTTTTTTAAACAAAAAAAAAAAAAAAAAAAAAAAAAAAAAAGCACAATGTATAGTTTTTTAATATAATTACAAAAGTACATTAATTCCTGAACATTCAATAAATGTGAACAAAATGTTATTAAAAAACTGTTCATAAATAAATAACACTTAATAACCTATCAATTCATACTACAGTATGGCAACTACAGTGAACATGAAATACATGTGATGTACAAGTCCTCAACTACATAAATCAGTATTTTTATTAGTCTCTGCAATATACAAATATAGCAAATAGTTCTACCATGATGAGGTAAATACTAATGAGTTTTCAGTCTTTATTCTAAGACACATTTTATACTCACTTTAACAATATTTCCTTATGCTTTATTTACATTCTCTCTTTAAACACAAATATAATAATTAAGGAAATAACTTAAATTTTTTAAACATATGAACAATAATAAACAGGAAAAATAATTGAATAAGATATGCTTTACTGTATTTACAATCAAAATGTGTATGTATACAAATGTAAAAAGACAGGTGGGAATATAATAAGTGCATTTTATATGTGATATACGGTAAACTTACAAATAGACATTAAAACCATTTAAAAGTTTAATTTTGCAAGATTTTAAAGATTTTTTTACAGAATTTTTTTTAAAGAATTTAAACAATAACAGTGCATATAAATAGATAGGTACTTAATTCCTTTAATGGTAAGATAAATGTTATTTTTTAATGTTATTGAAACTGACGTGTTTAATGTCAGTAAACTATACTTCCAACTTAATTTGCACATGTATAAGAGATTTGGGCACATCTTGAATTTTAAATGATGCAGTGCCATTACAGTAACTTACACTGTATGATACTCATTTACATACATCCACAGATGAAGCAATTACAATCTTTACGATAGTTTTTCCTATTCAGTTTATATTTTAAATTTACATGAATAGATAATAATCTTTATTTATGAAATGTGACAATCGAATTCCAAATCATATTCAGATAAAACATGGCCAAATATTCTTTTGTCAAAAACCTAGTAATATTTGGGGATATACCACATTTAAGACAGTATTTTAATGAATGAATATAGATTTAATTATATGCACTGATATTGGAAATTACAATTTTAAATTAATAACTACTAAATTAAGCTCTTCTATTTTAGTGTGTTTATACTTAGGACAGATTCAGTGATTCAATAAAAGATATGTACAGTGGACTCTGGTTGTAATCCTTGGATTTCATTTGCTTGACATATTCTTTTACAATGCGTTGAAATTCAAAACTAAAATGATAAAAATATAAAATATTATTTTACGTGTATCAATATAAAATATAATATGAAAATTTTAAACTGAAAACCACATTTTTTTAAAATATGTTTAGCTAATAATTTTAGAATAAAAAATAGTAGAAAATCAGACGTTTTCCAAACTATAGACAGTTATATACGAATACCTGCAGAAAAATTATTCTCAACTAAAATGCAAATGATAAATGACACTGGCAGGAATGAGACATTATGATGATACACAGTTTATGTTTAAAACACACATCTGAATTGAAAGCAACAAAATTATTCAAATGTACTAAAAGTGATTCAAATAAAATTTTTAAAAATTTAATTTATTGACACACACATAAAGGGAGATTAAGCCTATTATTATTATTATTATTTATTTAAGCTATTCTAGAGATTACTGAATTATAATTTGTTTAGTATATAAACTTATAAATAATCATATTGCTTTACATAAAGGCAAAAATTTATTTCACTAAAAATTTTAACAGAAATATATAACACATATGGTTTATAAATCAGCTGCATACATCATCACTCAAAAATAATAAAGAAGCATTGTCATAATAAAAAGCATAAGGTTTACTAATAACATTTGACTACTTAACAGTTACTTTGTTTTCCCCTCCAAATATAGAAGAATGAAGTTTCATAATTGGGCCATGACTTCGATTTACTGAACATTTTGTCTAAGAACTTTTTGCTATTACACATACCCAGAGGAAAAAATACCATATAAATTCTTTGTATCAGAATATTCAAATTCTTATGCATATTGTTTACTTTTTTACATACGAAGTCTATATATATATATATACATATAAATCAAAAAGCAAAGATTGGAAAGAAAATGAAAAACATTCTGTTCCTGAAAATATGAAGGTCTAAACCTTGCCTCTCCGGGTAAAAGTTAAGAAACTCAATAAACGCAAATTAATGAACTTTTCAAATACATGAAAATTAAAATCAGAAAAGAAAAATATTACAATTACAGAACAAGACACATAACAGAACAAATACTAAAATAATTTCTTATTAATCTCCTCTGTTTAATGCTTCAAACAGAACTTAACACAAGTTAACAACCTCCCATTCCACTTTTCCACCAGTTGAAACATACCTAGAAAGCACAGGCTTTTTAATTGTTTTTAGTTCTTTTCTATTCGACCTTCAATGGCTTTATCAGTTTGGTTCGACTCATCCCCTTTTTCTAGTATACTCTTAGGCACAGTTTGTTTAAATTTAAACAAACCTATCAGCATCCATTCTTTTAACACTTGAAGCGCTTTGTTGGAAATGGAGATTTTAAGAAAGGTGTTATTTTTCATTCATTTTTGTTCTTCTTAAACTTTTTTTTTTCATAATTAACTCTGATTTCTCCACCAGTATTTTTATTCATTCTCTTTTGGCATAAATTAAAATTCACAAGATGATAAAAAAATTTTCAGGTAATCAGCCCTTGTATTAGGTTATATATAAATCGACTGAACAATCTATTTTTCAAGTTTAAATAGAAAACTGCTTCATTAATTATTATTATTTTTTTTAGAATTTCCTTTTTGATTTAATTTACATTTGTATAATTTAGTTTTTGTACTACTTTTAAGCATTTGTATATAATTTTGGTTTAATTTGAGTACGAATGCATGTAGGGAAAAGTTCTGAGCATTTGAGACCTTTTAGAAATTTGTTATAAAATGAACAGCAGTTCAAGGTCTCAAATGATTCAAAGGAACAAAACATGTATTCTGAACTCATTAAACAACTTGGTTCAAGGCTTCAAAACAATTTTCTCTTGACAAGTTTTGTTTCAAGCATTAAAAGAGGAGATTAATAAGAAATTATTTTGGTATTTGTTTTGTTATGTATGTTGTTCTGTAATTTAAAATTTTTTCTTTTCTCATTTTAATTTTCAAGTAACTTTTCCGTTTTTGAAAAGTTTAATTAATTTGTGTTTATTCAGTTTGATACCTGGAGAGGAAAGGTTCATACTGTCATAACGAGGTCTTCATATTGTCAGGAACAGAATATTATTAACTTTCGTTCAGATCTTAACTTTTCGATTCTTATCTTTCACATTGATATGATGGACCTATGTAAAAAAATTATGCATGGCCATGTATGGTATGTTGGAAGCTAAGAAATTAAAGATTAGCCCACCAATAAACATTGTTAAATATTAGATTCTATTAGTTTGAAGGGCCAGACAGAATGAAGAATTGAACATTTCATCAAGAAATTAAATTATTATATGTAATTTACATAGAAAATTAGATAAGTATGAAAAATATTCATATTTTCAAACTAATATTTTTTAACTAAATGTATATGATGCAAACAATTCACAAAATATGAAAAGAAAATGAAGGCAATTTAAATAATAAATTAAAAAACACAAATTAGATTACAGAAAGAAAAAACAAAGTAAAAAAGAACCAGAAAAGAAAAAGAATATGCTTGGAGAATTTAAACAATACAAATGAGATTTCCTATTTTCTCTTCTAAAGAAATGTTAATAACATTAATAGAGATTTCCTACACATACCATGGCTTTCTGCAGCTGTTTTACGAATCCGGAAATAGGTCCACATCAAATCTTTGAATAGTTAAGAATATGTTAGTAAATTAGTATCACTAATTTAAGAAAAAAAAATGTTAAGAGAAGCAATTTATAGAGGCATAAAATGAAAAGCCTTAATGATATTGAGACATAAAATTTGACAACAAACTTCATATATAAAACACAAAAATATGGAATAAATAAAATTATCTAATGCATCAAGAATCATTCAAAGAAAACTGTAATATATACTGTTGTCTTTTCAAACAGGCAATGTGTACTGAATAATACTTTTTAAGTCTGTCTAAAATGAGAGTCAAATTTATGATCTTTTGTCAGCATAGGAGCATACTACCATCGTGCCATGGAAGTCATTAGAAACTCCTTCCTAGCATAACTAGAATTAATTAGTTTCACAGATCAGTTGTGTCCCCTTATTTTGATATAACATGTTCTCATAGAATCCTGATCTTCCTATCATATGCAATATTTAAAAAGTCTACTCTACCCACTAACAGGTATATTCTTTTCAAAGAAACCTACTTAAAACGAGCCCAACAGTAAATGTTTGTTTCAGCTGGGGAATAAACCAAGTTATTTTTACCACTTTAGAGAAAAGAAATTAAAAAAAAAAATTGGTTTGTGATTTAATTTTAATCAGTACTTCCTGTTAATAAATGCATTAACATTGGATGTGCTTCTGTATTCTTTTTGTGATGACTACTTCCATTATTTCATTATGGATATTTTATTCAGCTTTATATAAAGAGATCTTTTTTTGTACTTTATATGGTTTATAATTAATTCTGTTGTTAGTGAATAAAAACAGTGTGGTTTATTAGTATTTGTTAGTATGATTGAATAGTTGAAAGCATGTCTGTAGATTTAAATTCAAACATGAATTATTATGGCTTATTTCTTCACTAAATTTCAATTCCTTGGTTTTTCTGATGTAGTTATTATCAGATAAATCTTGCAGACAGATATTCCTATCTAACTAATTACGCATCAAAGCATTCCGAATAAAAAATTTAAATCATACTCATCCCAAATGGCTTTTGCATAATTCAAGAAACATCTCTCTCCATAAAAAATTTTCAATTGGAATATTTAGATGTTTTTTCTGTATTTCCCAATTTCACTAATTTATCTCAAAATTTATGCACTTTACTTTCTATTGACAAAGATGGTGTTCAAATTAAAAAAAAAAGTTTAAAGACTTTTTCCTACATAAGATTGCAATATATAATATATGTAAAAAATGATAAAGATTATTCTGCAAAGCTATCTGACAAAGATAGATTATATGTTATAATTTATTTTAATATATTTCTTAATTACGAATTGAACAACAATAATCAGAATGGTGTATGAGATTTAGACAACGGAACTTCCAATTCTTTTGGAGCTCCCGAGTCCATGGTTTAATAATGATATGCAAAATTAATTACACAACAAAAACATATCACATAAGGGACTGTACACAGTCCACAGGGATTGTACATAGAATACTTATAAAAGAGACAAATGTAATTATATCGCTATTGTGTCAGATGACATTACCCTTACTTTTTAATCCATACGAGATTAGAGAAAAATATGACAACATATTTTACGTAAACATACAACCGTATATTTTTATTACTAGTATACTTATTTGTATATCTAGCTTGATAGACATAATATTGATAGCTAAGAGTAAACAATCAAGATGTTGGTCAGAAATTTTAATTCTTATTCTAATTTCGTATGTTTCACTTTGAGGAAAACATTACTCATAAATATATGCTTTTAAAAAAAGAGACACATCATGAAAAGGGATTGTTCATGAAATGCTGGATATTTTTTTCAGATAAGCAAAACAAAATTTCAAACAAATAAAATATTCTTTACATCACATATTAAATGTATATATTGCATTCATAATTAAATAATTTTGATATTAACTGAGAATAAGTAGAAATCATACTGAAATGCAACTGGAATTTTTTTAATTCTTATATTATGAATATTAAATTTCCTGACACATTTGTGATCAATGCCACATACTTTTTGGTGTGAATAATTTGTTCCTGTTACTGAGAAACTTTCACAATTTCAGTGTAATTTTGAACAAAGACATTCTTCTTTACATTATTTATTAGTCGCTTTTGACTTGAACGGAAGATGCATTCTGTTCATTAAATTAAATAACTGTAGCCAATAAAAATCAGTTAATCAAATGGCATTCACAATTTAAGATCGGCTGAACTATCCTTTTTAAAATTTAATTAAAAATTTTTTGTTCTTAATTTTTTTGTGATACCATGTAGGTCACATCAATGAACATAAGCCACTGAATATTGGATGCATGTAATTTAGATGATGCTCTAATTCCTATATATTTTAAACATTCTGGTGTGGCTTGGTTGAATTTTAAATTATATATATTATAAGGGAAGGAAACAAAGTATGCATGAATTATCTCAAATTTTTAGAGTAAAATTTGGTTACTCTACAAACCAAATTACAAATTTGCAGTAATCATAAAATACGTAAATTAAAAAGATACACATACACAAGGGGGAAAAAAGCAAATAAGCACCTTTTCATACAACTATTCAACAGTTCTGAAAAATTTAAATAGCTCTTTGAATAAAAAATGGTTTTAGAAAATTTTAAAACAAATTTTTCGATTTTTATTAATTAAGAGGAAAACATTACATTTATTACTTACTGTTTTACTTTATCAGGAATTGATACCTGATCTAGAGGTATGAGAAGAGAAAGCTCTTTCAAGCTGTAGACAAACTTCAATTTTCGACTAAATTTTGAGCTGTAAAAAAAAAGTACATATATATTAAAAGGCATATTACTTAGTTTACATTTTATATAATTGTGTATATAAAGCCAAGAAAGATTACATGTGCATTTTATTTAACTTGCCTTGTATATTTAAATTGAAATAAGTAACAAAGTGATGCAGATATAGAAATAATTTTAACTTTACAACTTTAAACAGTCAAAATCAACAAATATTAACATATAATTTGCTGTTACTCAGCACAAAACTTTTGGCAAGAAAATTAAAGAAATAAATAAAAATAATTTATACCCTTTTTTAATAACCTGCAAAATTAAACCTTTCATATTAATTTTAATGAAAAATCTTAATCTATTCTGAGAGGCAATTGACTTGATTTTACATTTTTTCAGAAGACTCTAAGATACACAATACCAATTTTATTAGTTTGTAATTAGATTTATTATGAATTAAATGCATTTTTATTTAAATAACTCAGATTAAAAAGTAAAAAAAATAAGAATATTTTTAAGAACAGCATCTAACGCTTTTAAATAGTTTAGTTTAGTAATAATAACAGACAGATTAAATATGAAAGAATAATATCTTATGTTTTTCTGAATGAACAATGCATTTACAGTAAACCATGCAAAATCACATTTTAGGCTAAGAGCCTGAGCTAATAATTTTGAAGAATTAGGTTTTCATGGCATATCAGATAAAACGGAATGCTAGATAACTAAAGCACAGATCATTATGATTCTACACATATATTCTACATGTATTAAATACGCGAGAAGATTTGTGATGGAATTCTTTTTTTTTTTTATGCAGTTTGTATCCTTTGAATTTTAGGTTTAATTTAGTATCAGCTCAACGTGCACTTAATAAAGGCTTACCTACTACATGATAAATTTGAAAACACAAGACAGAATGTGTCAAGACAAGTGTCAACGGAAAAGAAATATTCTTTTCTTCATCAAACAGTCATATTATAAGTTGCCTAAATTTTTAAGTTAACTCAGAAAATTAAATGGTCACTGGTAGAAAAGTGAATTATCTGCAACATGACAGCTTCCCCCCCCCCCCCCGAAAAAAAAAGTGCACTGAATACAGAATTTTTACTATGCTAGGCTAAAATTCAAGTCATTGTGCCACAAAAAGATATAGAAGAAATGCCTTAAAGTCTTTACACTGGCATAATTGCAATAATGATATTCAATAATGATGGCTGCTCATTCAGCAGCTGGTATTTTTTTTGGATGAAGCATTCTTATGGATGTGATGACTATTATAAATTAAAAAGTAAAATTTCTAATAAATAAATAAAAATTAGACATATTTTTGTTTTAAATGCATTACTGTATCCTGAAAACATACTGAAATACAATTTTATTAATGTTTACTGACTTTTAGATCATTCTATATGCTAATATATGAAGGTATGAAACATAAGTAATAAACTAAAAAATATAAAAGTTATGAGTATAATTTAAACATTTTTGCAGTGTGGATCAGATACAAACCTAATAAAAGGCCTCGTCATGATGACAATTGTCTTCAACCAAAATGTAGGATGAACTAGATACAGACCTTTCAAGTTCTTTCGTAATCTAAAGAAAATGCCATTTGAATGATGCATTTTTAGGAAAATGTCAGTTATAAAATACCAAAAACGTAACTTTCTTAAAATTTTAACTATATTAGCTTTATTTAATAAGTGTGGATAATGGGTATTAAAAAGTTATTTTGCTTAAAAAATACCTTTATTTTGTCTAAATTTGTTTTTTTCAGCAGATACCTTAATAAAGACTTCTAACTCTTTTACCATAAAATCATCAAATACAGACATATTAATAAATACAGATATAGTCAAACTTTGGTTGAATTTAAAAGCAGCAGCAAAAATTTGAGTATTCACAAATCACTACATAGTATAAAACAAAGTCGCTTTCTCTGTCCCTATATCCTTATGTATACTTAAATCTTTAAAACTACGCAACGGATTTTGATGCGGTTTCTTTTAATAGATAAAGTGATTGAAGAAGAAGGTTTATATGTATAATAACATCCATTAAATAATGGAGAAATACTGTTATTTTTTAGGTTTCTAATGTGATGTCGTAAATAACTACATTTTTTCCGCTTACATTGCCAAATGCAGGCTGAACCCTATGAGATTTATCAAAATAATGTACTAAATATTGTACACATTGAAAAGGTCTACAGATTTAAAAAATTGTGGGACGTAGCGTTTGCGGCGGTACCGGCCGGCCAGGGCGGCGGAAGCATGCCTATAAATAGCGCGTCGGAGGCCGCGGTTCTCCCTATAGCACTTGAATTTAGCAGCGATCGGACGCGTTTATTATTATAGCTCTCTAGCGAAGAAAATAACAATATACTTAATAAAAATGTGCTTTTCAGTGCGACAACGTATCGGTTATTATAAGTAAGTTGCGATAATAATTGTATGTAGTTTTAAAATATAAATGATATCTATTCTAAGGTTTAATTTTTAATCGCACTTATAGTCTTATAAGTACATAAGGTTAGATAGATTAAATTAAATAAACCATAATTTATGATTGGAATTTTCTATTAAGATCTTGGTTAAAATTTAGAGTTAAATCAATTTAATATTAGGAAAATTATTTTCAAAAATCGCAATTTAAGGTGAGGTATGTAAGTTCAGAAAAAGAACTTAATAGAATACGTATCTTATACGTTTTTCAGTGAGTGACATAGGCTATATATTTTATACCCGTGCGAAGCCGGAGTGGGTCACTAGTTTGACTATAAAGAAAAGTTACCATATTTACACAAAACTAAGCTTTAAACATTAGGAAAAACTTTAAGAAATAAAATTGTAGATAAGTATTTATCTTGTCTTGCAATAAATCCAAGAAAGAAAATTTCATTTTTTTTTTAAATTTCTTTTGCTTGGAATAATAGTATCATTAACTGTGACTGTTATTAGTGACCATTATTAGTGGTTAACATTTCAGGTATGACATTACTCCATATAATGGATGCAGGCATAAACAAACTGTCCAGCTAGAAGTGGCTATTATGATTGGCATTTTATATACATGGCAATTACTTATGTGGTTTATTTAGTATTTAAACAGAAAGATAATTTAATTTCTTTATCAATATGTCTGATTGTAAGATCCAGCCAATTTTAAAACAAATATATATATATGTTTTAAATTATATATATATATAAAATCCAATTTCATTTTTGAATAAATATGATAATGTTAATTTAGAATTCTGCATTTCAACATTCTGTTTCACTTTTCGAAAACTTCACATCACTGAAATATATATGTACTTTTATAGGCTGCTTGTCATGATAGTTTTAAACACTTTACTATGTTAAAGCTGCAGAAGACAATCAGTTTAATTTATTGATTAGAGGTATGGATAGCTTATAGATAAAAATTAAATATCACTCATTTAGATAATTATTCTGTTGAAATTATGACATATACAAACATAGCAAAATTTTGCTATTGGTATTTTGATAAAATATTATTCAAGAAACATATACTGTGGTGCAAAAATCCATAAATTTACAAAAACTGTTCAATCATAATGAAACTTGATACAAGTAATAAAAAAAAATTATGATGAAATTATTACAGGTGGATCACAGTCAGTCCAGTTACTGAAGATCACAAATTCAGAATAACTGAATATTGGTATAATATACAACTGTCTCTGCCAACTATGCATAAGAATATTGATTTGATTTGAATACTGGAATTAGCTGCTAAATATGTAACTGCTCAGTACTTTCATGTGTTGAGTTTATGTTTATTCATCAGTTATCTAATCACTTTTGCCTTTAGAATTACTTCCATTTCTATTGGCTCCCACCAAGATGCAAATTGGTTAATGTACTTGGGTTTGAGAAACACAAGAGTTCTTGAGCCTATATTAATCAACTTATAAGACCATTAAAATTTTGCATCAAGGAATATAGATCTTGTTTGAAAAGAAGAAAGAAACAAATCTCTTCAATAATTAATTACAGCTGAACACTTAACCACAATTTTGATTCCAGTTCTGTGAAAATTATATGTTCAGCTTCAATTCATGAATTTAATTTTCTTAAACAGGAAAACGGAAAATCTTTCAACTTTAAAAAATCAACGAAGTTAGTTCTCATGAATTACAGAGGATAGAAAAATGAAAGAAATTCTATTTATTGGATCCTTATTATACTTAAATAAGAATTATTTTCAAACGTTTCCATATAAAATATTTGATATTTATAGTATTACATTTTTCTTAATCTTAATTAATATTTATATATTAATTTGCTGCATACATAAATAACTATAAATAAAGCAAATTTCACATTTTCATAACCTATCTAATCAATTACTTTGATAAATAGATTCATTTACTTCAAAGTATCAATACGCTATATGATTTTGAATATAGATAAATACAGAACATAAAATGAATTGCTATGTATCAATTCTCATGCAATTTATTTCAGACACTGATTTACAAGTAATTCTAGATGAAATAAAAATTTGACAACAAAAAATTTTTACTAAATAATTGAAGTACTATAATGAATACTAGAACTACTTTTTAGAGTAAACTCTATCTCATCTAGTGATACTATTACTTACACAATTAGTTTTTCCAAAATAAAATATGTATAATAAAAAATTACCTTCTGTCAATCATTTGATAACAACGTTTTAACCAACTAAAGCTTGGCATATTACTTCGATCAGTCGCCCCATGAAAATAAACTAAAACATAATCTTCAGCCACTAATTCATCAAGAGTATTTATTACATACCTAAAATGGAAAGAAAAAAAAAATAAATTACTAAAAGTTTCAGTTATATTTTACCATATATACTTAATTTCCAGTAATTTTAATCTAGGAAGTTTCTACCTCAGCTAAGTACACTATATACATTTAATTTACATATAAAAAGATTACTAAAAGAGAGCTAACTGATTACTGATACTGAACTATAGGCATGTTTAAAATACTTTAAGTAAAAAAAAAAAATATTATGCATTAAATATGTCTCCTTGTTCTTAATCAAGAAAATTAAAATTACTTACATTTTCAATTAAACATTAAATGCTAGTTAAGAATCAAAATATTTACATGTTAAGTATTAAATTCAAGCAGACTCAATGGCACATACATGATTACATTCACAGTTATATATGTATGTAACATAATTTTATTTATTAATTTTAAGTCATTATTAAGATTTCTTTAATTAATTAATTCTTCACCTTGTTCTACCTCTAATAAGACATGCATGTGATTTAAATTCTTTGACTGGTCATTTCTTCTTTTCCAGAATTTAATTTACATGACACTTGATGATATTCATTGTTGCGACCAGTTACATAACAGTAAAAAGCAGTGAAATCCTATTTTATAATCTTCAAGCTGGAACCTTCTGATAATAAATATCATGGTAATGTGAAAATTCTTCCTTTTGCTTGCTAAAGGAGGGAGGCAGATTGTTCAGATGTAAATTTAAAAAGTTATTAGTTTTTCCTTCACTGGCTCAGTTTTTGTCCATTGCCTGTAACCATATAATGTGTCAGTTTAATTAAGAAGATACATATGTCTAGTCATTTAAATTAAAGCCTAACCAATAAAGGGCTGACAAGACTATACTGCAATGTAATTACAATAAATATGTATTTTAAAATAAAATCATGATTGTTTTAATAAATGAAATTCAAATTAAAAATTAAAATTTATAAAAAAATTAATTTTTGATTGAAAGTGGTGAATTTTTTTCAAGTGGATTTGAAGAAAGTGAATTTCTTTTTTCACATCTCAACATATTTTATAACTTTTTTTATAGACATTTTAATTTTCTATTGGGTACAACTTGCAAGTTTTAGTTTTTATTGCACATATGTATAATTTACAATGAAATGGCAAATTTTAGATCAATTTTGTCACTCAACTGTCCAATTTACATGTCATAAAAAATGATTATACTCGTAAGTTTTTTTTTTTTTTTCCTGGAGTTACCACTATTTCACATAATGATACTAAAATATCAAAAGATAGATAAAAAAAAAAAAGGAATTATGTGAATTCAGTCAGCTTTGAATTAATCATTTCTATTAATCAAACATTCCTGCTTTTAAAGGGTTAACACAGGATTCATATTAAGAAAATTAAAGACTTCAGTAGTCTAAAAAATAAATAATATGGCTATATATTTATTTATTATTACTAACAGAAATAAATTATCCATCACATAGTCATAGTCTTTTCGACAATGGTCAGGTAAGTAGCATGCTGAAAATACGATGATTGCATTGTGGGCAGTTCCTACATAACCTGAAATTTAAAATGCAATAATAATTAAGGGAAAACTTTCTTATAAAATTTAGTAGTAGTAAAAAATTACATCATATAAAAATAACATTCATACATAAATGAAATACAGAATAATAAAAAAGACTCAACAAAAAAATGAATGATTCTCCTAGTTCTGCTCGAACTTTCTACTTTACACGTTTACAATAGAATCAATAGGATCAATGCTGAAGTTAAATTTACAATTCCAAATACTATAATTTAACATAAAAATTCATAAAAAGTTAAGTTTACAAATAAAACAGAAGGAAAAACTATATTTATCTGTTACAAGAATTCAGATATTAATGTTGAAATAATTTATAACATGTTAAAAAATAAATAAAACCAAAACAAAAGCAATATTTATCTACAGCCAAGAATTCAGATTTTGAAGCTGAAATAATTTATAACACGTAAAAAAAAAATCTCCCATAACTTTTATGTTAAAGTTTAACATCAAGAGGATCATTTTAAATTATAATACTTATTAAAAATTATAAACAAAATTCTATCTATTGTTCATTATAAATATAATGAATACCAACAATGAGAAAGATTACAAGTACATGCTAATTTACATAATCAAGGCCATTTTAATCCATAAACCTGCTCACACTTACCCAGGGGCCCCATGCTAATTTGCATATGCCATTTAATTTCTGCTATTATGTCAATTACTTAAGATATTTGTAAACTTTTCCTTAATATTAAACAGATCTTCCTTTAATATTTCTGTAACTTCTTTCCTAACATTAAAATACCATGTTTATTCGCATATGTTTCTCCACAGTCTTTTACAGCAAGGTTCTAATTTTTTTTTTAAATATTCACGTAATTTTCCCCTTCCTCAAGATGTTCAGAAAACAAGCTCTCTAAGCTTTAAAATGAATTATTACACACAGTAGTTGTTTTCATCTTTCTAATTGATTTGCTTATAGACTTTGGGTGTATGGGCTCTGACTGACGTAGAATATATAGTGAACAGCTTCAAGAAAACACAGACATCTAATATAATGATTCTGAAAATCATTATATGAGAAAGACAGACTGAACATTGATGAAGTTGATAACAATGGTGATGATGACAAGACTTGTAACCTGTAGTACGCAACACTTCCAGCAGCACCCAATGATACGAGCCCTGAAGTAAGTAGAGAAATAAAGTGAATGAAAAGTATCTGTGGACAGTAGTAAGAACAAGCAAGATTAATCTAATCTTTGAAACTAGTACAGTAAAAGCTTGACTATCTGGAAAGCTCAGGAAATCTAAATTCTCGGTACGTGAAAACTCTTTACAGTTGAGTATATAAAAACTGGAATTCATGGGGTAAAAAACAAATGAAAGAAATTTTGTAGAAAATTATAAAAACACACATCTAACTTGTTACCAACTTGAATATCAAAAGGCTACATTTAAAATTACATAAAATTTTGTGGAGAAAAAAATGAATTTTAGACATAAAAGCCTATGTATTCTATAGACCTAAAACATGAAAGTAAAACATCTTATCTGATTATGAAATCCTGCTGAATATGAAAATTAGTTGAAATGTCATCAAACCTGCACCAGTCATTTCAGCAGACATTTAATGGAACAGATCATTCTTTACATAAGCAAGATACAAATTATGGATATAACATATAAAAACTTAAATCACTGAGAGCAACTTTTCATGTTGTCATTGTTTATCCATTTACAATTAAATTTGTACATCATTTAATTTTTTCTGCCACAATCCTGTAACTTAGTAAGTAACCTTTCAGTGTCCCATGAAAGGCAGGCCAAAAATATTAATAGTTTTTTCAAAATATGATGAAAAAATGTACCTTGTATCCTTCTTCACAAAAATTGAACTAGCTTATCGAGAATTAACAGGGTTTACATAAAAAACAGCTCTATAATTGTGCTACAAATCTCTAAATTACTTAATTTTTGAGAATTTTTTTTTCTAAAATATTTTTGTTATTTGAGCTTTCCAGTTAGTTGAATGCCAGACAGTTGGGCTTCTACAGTACTATAAATTTGTAAAAATTACTGCGGATTCCTTGTTTGAACTCTAATAATTTTTCCCACTTGATTTTTGTATGATGAAATTAGTAAAGAAAGCAGGTGGGGGAATGCATGAGTAAATACAGTAATATTTCTTGATCCTTCTTTATAAAAAAGGAAACAAGATAACAGTATTTTACCACAGAGAAAAGGATTTGCTCCATAGAAATGGTAGCCAAGGAACTATATGGCACCACGGAAATGGCTATCGAGAAATGGTGGATTCTGCCCTAAAATCAAGAAATGGTAGTATTCTGCTCTAAAATTTCTTGATGCCAACTTTAATGTGCCTTATACTAAAAACTTTGGTATATAGGTTTTTCCCTACTTTTGATATTATTCCTTATTTACCTGGACATTCTGGTGAACAAAGACTTACCTACTTATAGATCTGCTATAAAATTAGTGAAGAATACCTAAAATTAATTTGTATGATTACTTAAATTTCAAGAGAACAGTATTTAAAATTCATATTTTAATGATTTTTAATTAAAAATTTCTCACAGAAATTATACAGGCATCAATCAAAATAAAAGAAACAGAAACAAAAATAATACTTTCTCAGAAAACATGAAACTGAAACTAAATACTTTTAACAGGCAAAAGAAGTATCAGTTCAAATTTCAACCTCAACAAAAATTTTCCAACACTATTTGAAAAATCATATTATACCATATCATATAAATTATCATTCAGCTTTTGAAACTTACATCCGTTCGGAAAATTATAATTCTCCACCACTGTTTAGAAAACTCGAAGACTAGCAATTAGAAGATTCAAAGAGGGATAATCTTAAGCTGAAATGACAAAAGAGTTGAAAAATTATATGAAAGCTGCTCTCAGCTTTTTAAAATTATTCCAATAAACTGGCACAAGGTTAAAAAATAAAGATAAGGATGGCCAAGAGCATACAACAAATTGGAAAGATTATTATCAACACCTAACTGCTTGCAATTAATAGCAAGGTGAGTCTCTGAAATTCTGTGTTTTTCTAATCTCAATATTTAAATAACGAATTAATAAACAGTCAGTGAGAGAGGTCTCCATGTAACAAACCCAATGGTTTAAGTCGTACTCACTTTTTTCAACAAAAGCACTGACCTGAATTGATATCCACAACATCTTACAGGTATATTTCCATTTATTTTATAGTCTGGCACATTACTCATGAAATAAGATATGAATTATAAATGAGGATGAAAGGTCTAATTATGAAATTATGACTTTGAGAAGAGAGATTCTCAGTGAAATTATGATTGGCAGATTTATATAATTAAATTACGCCTTTCTTGATGAATAAAGTGTTGTTTGAATTAAATTTGCTTCTAAAAAATATCTGTTTCCTGTTACAACACCAAATATTTATAAAATGTTATCGGAGTATTAAATCCACATTTTATGTTAATTTTGATATATATGTAATTTTTATTTAACATATCTTCTGAATGGATCTCTATGTATATGAAAGCCAAGAAATACTAACCCCCATGGGAAAGAACTTTACGATATGGCTCAATAACCTTCATATCTATTTTTCTTTCTTCTCCATTCACTATACATGACTTCCAACTGCGTTCCTCTTCAAACTCTTCAGCTGCTGACATTTCAGGGATTGGATCACTTACTGATGAATGGAAATCTAAAATTTACAATATATAAATAACACTCAGAATTAAAAAAATATTTTCTTAAGCAAATTTTACATCTATTTTTAAAATTATCAGTATAATACTGAATGCAAAGAAATAAAAGACCTGAACAACTTCTCCACTAAAGATCAAACCAAATTTTGGCTACCATACTTAAGAAGAGTTATATATTTTTACTATTCAGTACCTAAAAGAAGTAAATTTTATTTGCAAATAGCATTATACAGTTCAGTATTAATATTTCTCACTGTATTTGAAATTGTTAAATAATTTGTTTGTATACTGTTTAGCTGAAAGAAAACTTATTATGTAGTACATACATATTTATTTATTTATTTATTTGGGTGGTTGTTTTCCTAATATTTTGTAGGTGGAAACTGATCATGCATATCAAAATATTTTACAGAAATTTGACAGAGTCAACCAAATTTTGAAAAATATACCTGAATTAAATCTGGTCTACATTCCCTTCCAAATATTCCCCTTTAACATATATTTACAGATTCCAGTGCTTGAAACAGAACTAGAACATTTTCTGAAAATATTAACTTAACTGAGTTTCATGCCATCTAAAATTTGGCTCAAGTATCTCCTAGAGTGAAATTATAGCTTGGAACTGTAGGTTTCATTTTTATCAAAATCTATTGCTTCTTCAAGAACAGTGTGAACTGAAACATTCAGTTCCCATCCTTCTACAAGTAAGGTCCATAGTGACAATTACCTTTTCTCAATTGACTCAAAGCCTCATGAAAAAATATCTCGCTGGCTATTTGACCTACAAGTGCTTAATCTCAATCCACAGTCCTTTTATATTAAAATAAATTACCAGAACTATCCTTGTCAGCCTTCTTAGCTTTCTTTGATCTTAGGATAAGGGTAGGAATAAGTACATAGGACACCCAAAATCCCAATTAGTGAGGATGTATACTCCAGTACACCAATCTAGAATCTCAATACTTGCACAAAGTGCCAGGAGTGCCCTACTGCCCAAGGCACGTAAAGCCTACCACACAATAAATGTCTCACAAACTTAAGTGCATGGAAAACTCATCCAAAGTTAAAGACTAACTATGCCTTTCCAAATGTGTATTAAAAAACTATTAGGTATTATGTTACACTTGGACATTGTGATATAAATATATGTGTGTGCACGTCATGTATGTGATGATTTTGGAATATCGATAGCAATTATAATAGATTTTTTGGCACACATAGAGATCCACAATAAATAGCAAACTTGCAGTAGAGGCAGCTTTAATAACAAGCATTCATAGCTGATTTAAATAATATTTTGTTTATTTTTGTTAACCTGCTGCGATAAGAAGAAATCCTTTTTCCTGCCCAGTAATTATTCTTTAACTTGCATGTTTCTTTCAAATTTTTTCTGTGCATCAAAGCATTTAATAGATGAATTTGTCACAAAGTGTTATAAACTCTGTATAATTTTAAAGCTCTCTGGGAAAAATTGTTGGTGACTTCTAAAAGTTATATTTTCTAAGAAACATAAAAAAAAAAGAAAGAAAAGAAATCGGGGAAAAAAAAAAAAAAAAAAAATTATTGAAAATTATTATCATAGCAAGTAGTACTACTACATTCTCTAAAATAAGTTAGGCCAAGTAGCAGGAGCGAAATGTGATGTGTTAAGGATGAAATCTTAATCCAGAGTACGTTAGTTTCAGTTTCAATACCATTTGATTGGATAATTGATAAAGTTCAATATTCAATCAAATGGTATTGAAATCAAACAGCCAAAAATTATTATTCACTGTTTGATTTTTAGTTCCCTTTATGTCATTAACACTGCATACTCCCTTTCCTGCTTGTTGCAATAAAGTAACATGTCACTGCTCACTTTATAAGGTATTTTTCCCACTTTCCTAGCATGCCTTCATGGTATAGTGCTTCTGCACACTGGGCTGGTATTCCAAAGGTCCATGGTTCGATTCCCGGCGAAGGCGGTTGCTAATTTTTCAATTCCTCTTGCTTTCAATTAACCTAATGACTCTATAACTTCTGTCTACCATCCAGCATTAAGATGTATTAAATATCCCAAAACTGTAGGATGCATATTGTGCCCATAACGATGCGTGAATCAGATTGCACATTCAAAGAATTGTGTTACCCAGTAACAGAATTGCTTAAAATCTAAAATTACATCTGTCTGCAAGCATAATCATTCCATCTACACAATAAACCTACCTTAAAAATACTAAACTTTTTCATACTTTCCATTAATCAGAAGTACAAATAATACTAAAAAACAGCTTGAAATAACACAAAGGAAGAAAAATATAAATAAAATTATAATTTTAAAAAGCTATTCAAAATTAAGCTATAAAAAATAAAAAAGGACTTAAGTTAGTAAGCTAATATTTGGAATGAAATGCTGTTATCTTGAATCAATTCATAACCACGAGAATGGGAGAATTCACATTCCAATACAGAAAATCTAATAAAATGCTCCTACAGACTATGAGATGTTGATGAGATTAATCATTAAATATAATTCAATGTAAGTTTTTGTCAACCTTTATTAACACTATATATATTCAGTATTAATATCAGTACAGCGAACTCTATAATGGCCTTGAAGTGCAAAATTCACCTGATCCAGATGGTTAATGTGCTTTTGTGGTAGTGTGTGATTGCGAACCTATGGTCATGGATTTTTTCATATATATTGTTGTGTTTTTCTCTTCCTGACACCTGTTGTTACATTATTTTCTTCCTTCACGTTTGTACGGGGTTCGTAGATTTGGAGTGGATAACGCCGACACTTGATGAAGTATCGAAACACACTTTATTTACCAGTATTGTCAGGACAGCACCAAAACACGTTTTACAGTCGTTGATGAACTACTATAAACACGCTGACACGATCAGTGACACAGCCTTCAGGTTATCAGGCTATCACAGTAGAGACAGCTTCCTGGCAAAGCACTAGAGTACAGCTCTAGACTCTGCTTGGTCGTTCTCGGAACTCCACACTACAACTCACGATGCACTCGACGACACACAGAGCTTAGCTCCAGACTCTTCGGTTCAGTCATTTCCAGAGTTTAACACACTCTCTCAACGATGCACTAACCGCGATACACTAAAAGACTCTTCGATGCACTTGACGACCAACTCGGCACTAGACTTCCAGACACTCGCTCAATGACTGACTGTCAGCTCGCTAGACGAGGCACCAACTAACTGACTGCGGACCAGCAGGGTTTATATAGTTTTTGGCTTGTGTTCGAGAACATTCTGGGCTAAACAAGTAAGAATTCGTTCCAGAAGTTTCTCCATCCGTCCATAGCATATCGCCAATTTTGTTGCCAAATGGGCGATTTCTCATCAAATGTGGCAACCCTGCTTTCCTTGCCATTTTGTGTCAACCCTAAAACTGCTTTGCGGGGAAGCCATTTTAAAGCGCCTGTATATTTCGTAACACTTCTTCCTCCCAAAGACTGCACGTCCCGGGCAATACAACCCTTGGTCAGTGCAACAATGCCTGCAGTGTGCAGAACAAGGCTTCCTGGATAAAGCATCCGCATTTCCGTTGGAGGAGCCTTTACAGTGTTTTATCTCAAAGTCATATTCCTTCAGTCTTTCAATCCATCTGGCTATTTGTCCTTCGGGATTTTTGAAATTCAGTAGCCAGGTTAGAGAAGCATGGTCGGTCCGCAATAAGAATTTTCTGCCATAGAGATGATGATGGAAATGTTCTACGGCCTTTACAATAGCAAGCAATTCTTTACAGGTGATGCAATAATTCCTTTCCGGTTTGGACAAGCACTTACTCCAGTAGGCTATTACTCACTCTTGACAATTAATCATTTGAGAAAGGACAGCTCCCACACTTTCGTTGCTTACATCAGTGTCCAATATAAATTCTTTGTCTATCTGAGGATATGCGAGCACGGGTGTAGATGTTAATGCCATCTTCAACTGATTAAAGGACTTCTCGCACTCCTCAGTCCACACAAATTTTTATTTACTTTCTGTTAATTTTATGCAGAGGCCTTGCGATGTTGAAGAATCCCTTCACGAATCTTCTGTAATAAGTACAGAGTCCCAGGAAGCTTCGTAGTTGATGAATATTCACAGGACGTTCCCAGTCCTGAACTGCCAACACCTTTTCTGGATCTGTGCGGACACCTTCGGCAGAGATGACATGCCTGAGATAGGCAACTTCACTGCGGAACAACTTGCATTTCGAAGGACTCAGTTTAAGATTGGCATCTCTCAATTTCTGGAACACCTTCCTGATATTTTCTAGATGTTCCTCGTAGAAGTACGGCCCACTATAATGATGTCATCTAGGTAGACCAGACAGGATTCGTAAGATAGACCACGAAGCACTGTCTCCATCAGGTGTTCAAATGTTGCAGTGGCGTTACCGAGTCCAAAAGGTATACTTTAAACTGCCAGAGTCCTTGACCGGTAGTGAACGCAGTTTTCTCTCTATCGTGGGGATGAATTTCCATTTGCCAGTACCCACTCTTGAGGTCCAGAGTGGAAAACCACTTGTGTTCTGATAAGGTGTCTAGAGTATCGTCAATCCTGGGAAGAGGGTAACTGCCTTTCTTAGTGACATTATTTAGTTTTTTTTTTTGTCGCCAAATGGATGATTTCTTGCCAAATGTGGCAACCCTGCCTTCCCCTGCCCTTTTATGACAACCCTAAAACTGCTTTGCAGGGAAGCCATCTTACCGCGGCTGTACATTTCGTAACACTATTTTGCTAATAGTGTTAAGTAAGTGCATTATTTTGCTATTCTAAGTGATTTCAAATAACTTAAGCTTTATTATAATGGTAAATAATAGTTTTATCTATATTTCTTTTTATATCTTTTTAATTTTTAGATTTATTTGGGAATATTTGTAGCTTTTCTCAAGTCTATTCAAATATTTTGTTTTTAATACGTAGGTTGGGGCAAAAGTCATGGCAATTATTTTTTTCCTTGAAGATACCAGTCCGGTTGTAAAATGTGACATATACAGACGAAAGGACAAGGTCTTAACTACATGTGTAGACAATGAATAGCATTGAAATATCATAACACACGAATTTATTACGGTAGTATATAGGGCAATATGGCCTTCACCGTGCAAAAGAATGATAACACAGCACACATAAAGTTGACATGACAAACCTGGGCCTAAAGACCCTCAATGTAGTCCCCTGCTACTGTCCCGACATGCTGCCAACGATGTGGGAGGCTCTGAATACCATCAGCCTCAGCATTTGTCGCACCATGTGTGAATCGGGTCATCTGTTGGTGCACAGCATTATCAATGTCCTCTCGTGTTGCAAACCGCCTACCACGCATTGGTTCCTTAATCTTGAGAATGAGATCAAAGTCACAAGGCGAAAGGTTAGGAGAGTATGGTGGGCCCTCCAATTCTTCCCATCCCCAATGTCGGAGTAACTGCTGTACACACTCTGCTTTATGTGGTCTTGCATTGTCGTGCAGAATTATTGCACTGTCCACAAGATCCGGACGTTTATCCCGAACGCCACGTCGTACCTGTCGCACAGGAACTCCCTGTAGTACTGTGCGGTCACTGTTCTGCCATGAGGAACAAAGTGGCAAAAAATGACACCCCTGACATCATATGCAACGATCACCATCAATTTGACTGGGGAAGGATTCTGATGGACCTTTTGCTGCCTTGGCTGATCTACGATGGTCGCCACTCCGCGGCAAACTGACGTTTCAGTTCTGGTTCGTATGCTCTGGCTCAAAATTCATCGATGGCCAATTATTTGTGATAAGAATTGATCGCCCTCCTGTTGCCAGCGGGCAAAGTGGTCGGAGCATATTGCATAGCGCACCCACCTTTGAACTTCCGTCAGTGCATGTGGTACCCACCGCGAAGTGATTATTGTGTAGGTGTAGCTCATTACGCAATGTCCTGCAGACAGTGCGTTTCTCGATGCCACTTGCCCTCTCTAACTCTATCGTCTGTCTAGTAACATCAATCGTCTGTCTTCATTCATGAGGTGCTCGATGACGGCAGGTGCCAATTCCGCACACTCACCGGTCATCCCGAACGTTGCTCATCACTGGTTGACACACGTCCTTGCTGAAACTTTCCTACCCACCGTGCTACTGTACGATATGGTAGGGCATTATTCCCAAGGGCTTCTACTAATTCACTGTGACATTCCATCACATTTCACCCTTAGGGAACGGCTATTTTGATGTAAGCGCGCTGTTCAACATGGGTTACTTCCATCTCGCACGACACTCACCAACTGACTGATTTCAGAGACCTCGCTACTACAGAGCCAGCTATCACAGAGCCATCTGTTGTTCTGCATACACACTATGCCTGCAGAACTTCCCCACGACACGTATACGTTTTATGATCCATTAACATATCTACAAGAAAAGAATAGTTGCCATGACTTTTGCCCCAACCTTCGTATTGAATGCATTTACTCTAGTTTGAACATTTTGCATAGTATTATTTTGAATATTTGTTTGGCATAGTACATTAGGAATTCTAATTTTGATTGCTTCTTTCTAATAGCATATTTGATAGTCTGTTCCAATAAAAGAAACTTTATCACCACAAACATTTCAGGCATTGATAACAACTATAGATGCATTCATTCAATTGATACCATATTTGTTTCAAAAGTATGAAGCTGAATACATATTGTTTGAAAATTTCAAACTGATGCTCTTGAATAACGTTTTGGAATGTATCAGAAAATGCCAGGTTCAAATTATTACATAAATTACCCACAATTGTTAGGAAGGGAGAAGAAGCTTCCTTTTAAAAGCAATATTATGATTTCATCATTAAATATGAATGTCCCTTTTATCAAATGCAATATTTACCAGGACGGTTACAAAGTATTCATTCAGTAGATACAGCTGATGATATGCTGTATCTACTGAAAACCAAAAATATCATCAGCTGTTGTAGCCGTGTGTCCATCTAATGTGAACATGGCAACAACAGCTATTGATATTTTTGGTTTTCTTAAATAATTAGATAGGGGGAAATTAAAACTTTACCATCTGAAGTTGCTTTATTAACATCTTCAATTGTACATTTCTTATTTGGTGATTGGTCTAGTTTACTTATTTATGGCAAAGCACACTAGAGCTATCTACCTAAGAGGAGGGGTGCCTTCATGGAGGACTTTCTATGGGAAACTGGCACATATACACCTTACCCATGGGGAAAAGCACGAAAACACTCATGCAGCCAGCCCATTCACAGGATTCGAACCTCGGACTGAACTACCAGTGCTCAAGGAGAACACACTGATGACTTTTTTCAGTTTTTTTATTAGTTTTAATATTATGGAATGTCAATGTCTATTTTCAATTAGAAATAAAATAATTTTGGATATATACAGAATGCCAGAAATTAACTTACAATCTGAATTTTCTAGTTCCTCAAGTGTATCAACATCATCTGGCATGATAATATCATCTGTTGGTGAAAACACATCCAGATCACTTTTATTACTCAGAGATGATAGGCTCCTTTGGTCATCTTCTATATCTACATCTTCTGACTTTAAAATCATAGGGCTGACAGAAATTCGTTTTAGAGTACCACCACCTTCTACACATATATCTGAAAATGAGTTCAAAAATTAAAGAAAATATATGCTCGTGTTGAGTATATTTTATATACTAAATTACAAAATTTACAGAAAAATCAAACCTTCTACACATTTAGTAGCAATACTTATAAGTATTACACAATAATATTAATATTAATCACAATAAATATTAATATTAATATTATTTAATATTAATATTATTGCGAATTGGATATTTTACTTATTAATAATTCGAAAAACCATTTTAATGCATGATATATTTATATATCAAATATCATTTTAAGAAAAATTCTTTAAATTAAAAACAAAATTCTGTTACTAAGCACTCAGTAATCAGTTGCTAGAAATAATATATTTAAATATTTTAACAAATGAACTTTTTTTTAAATCAAATTATGTTATAACATCAAAGTGAATCATTGCTTTTATATGAAAATTTGTATCAGATTTACACAGTCACCTTTAATAAATAAGTTATTCTCCCAAATTTATTATTTTTACTCTTAGCTTCCATATCTTAAATCAGTAGGAGTCAATTATCTGCATACATGAAGACTGATTTCAGATGTATGCCAATAGGAAGGCTACACAACAGCCACAATCAATAATAATGAGAACAATAACAATATCTTGTTACCTTAGTAGTGAACTATAAAGAAATTTATGGGCTGTATGCAGTCTATGAGCTTCAAGTTAGCTTCTATCTTCTGAGGCTATAGTTGCCCAAACATTATTAACTTGAATTGAAAAGTTATAGTTTAATCAGATGGCTGCCAAGTTTGTTTTGTTGACCACAATCCTAAGAGACAGGATTGGTTTCAAGGATTTAAATGGTGTTACAGTGATGTCCATTCAGCCACTGGTGCTAAATCAAAAATAATTTGCATACTGAAATTTGTCAAGAAAGTAAGAAATACATCTAACTTAGATTGATTCCATTTACAGTAATAAGTATAAATAGTCCTTCCACTAAGACTGATGTGATAGCTAATCATATCTGTAATAAACTTAACATTTTGTATATTTAAAAAAAATTTAAATAACTTTTAATGCATTTCACAGCTTAGTAAATAAGCAAAACTTTAAAATTTTAATATAATAACCCTAAAATGTAATTTCTATGAATTACATTCAAATCTCCGATCATAGTTATTTTTAAATCTATTAAAATTTTAAATTATATCAAATGATTAAATATCTTAATTTAAATCTCATAGTTTTGTAAAAACTTTTAATTTTTAAAATATACTGTGTTAGATAGAAATGAGCATTTTACATATAAAGAAAATTTTTTCTTCAATCCCTACTTTCTTAAGCTAAAAAGTTAATTTTTTTGGTCATTTTTAAACAATTTATAATTCTAAGAGTAGAATAAGAATGAAAGGAAATTTCATATAATTTCAAATTTCCAAATATATCAAAATCTCATATTGTAAACTAACAATACATAAATTTAACAATTTGAAATTGTCAAAGTTATAATTTGTTCACTGGACAGTTAAAAATTTTATACTGAATATTTAACAAACTGAATGTAATACCAACAAATAGAAATATATGCACATCTAATTATAAATAATTATCAAACATGAAAGAGAAGAATGCTTCAGAAGCTGTATTTATTATTATTAAGTTATTATTATATTAAGAAGACAATTATGAAGTTAGGCACAATTTAAATTGGATAGAATAAAAGCATTACAGATGTTTAGTTTAAAGCATATGGCAATTAATTACTAACCTTTACGGCATTCAAAATCATCTGCATCTAGAAGATCATTTTCTTCATTTCCATCTGAATTAAGTTTCTAAAAGGAAAATGTATGAAAATAATGCAGTTACAAGCTTAAATTGGCTACTTAAAAAAAAATTATATTTATATTAAAATTATATTTATATTAAAAATTATTACAGTAAAATAAAAATACTGACTTGTAACTGAACTGTAATTCCAGAAAGCTGATGATGACTTGGACTATCAGGAAAATCAAGAGTTTCTGCTAGATATGTTGGAATAGTTTTTTCTATTTCATCCAACCTAAAATGCACGGAACTTTAATAAAAGACAGTTCCACTCATACTTACCTTAAATAATCATAACAGAATATCAAAATAATGATGTCATTTTGGAGGTATATATACTTACATTTAATTTAATAGAATTTACCAATGCTATAATTATTTGCATACACAAGATAAGTCCTTGATCTGTTAATTTAAAGTGTATTCTGAAGCATTATGAACATTGCTATTACTAAGCACTGCATTTCAGTTTAATAAATTTAGCAGTTGTGAGCAGATCACAGCAGTAACTTTTACATTACCAAAAAGACAAAGGTATTTATGCATATGATATTTATGCATTAGTTATTTATGCTTTAATTTAAACAAACGATATATTTTTATGGGAAGAAGGGGGGAGAATAGAAATACAGATAGCACTTCAATGATAATAAAAAATGTAAGCTATAAAATCTAATATACATATTAAAATATTTTAGTATATTTGCTGATTTTATCATACCAAACAATTAAATTGACACATGAATGATAAATATTTTATAAACTTAAAAAGAATGTTAGACTACCTTTCAATAACTGAGCTACATTATCTATTGTTCATTGCCTTTACTATAATAAAAATACAAATGTCAACAGGTGACCAAAATTATCCCCTTGCCTTTATATAAATTTATTAATATGGTGCTATATTCAGATACTAAGTTGAGAATTATTAATATGATGACCACTCAAAATTTAGAACAGACCATGATTTTGAAACTAAACAGATTCCTGTTTAGTTAAAAAAACTTTAATATGGAATCCTTAAATCTTGGTGCATGTAAATTTACTGCAAATAAACTTTATGAAAATAACTAAAATAATGTCATAATTTGATACAAATTTAATAAAGAATTAAGGGCATCAAAAGCTCCCACTGAGGTAGTGACTCAAAAGTGAGCTTTAAGGTCTCAGTTATTCATTTTTAAAAGTGATCAAATTTTTATCATATTTTTTTAGTTTATTTCTTGAAGCCATCAAAAGTCATTCTGTTGAAGAAGTATAGGATTTGTCAAAAAATTAATTGTTGTTACAAAAGAAATTACAGGAGAAATACTTAGATAGAAAAAACACACACACTTTATCCCCCACCCCCCCAAAAAAATACAACGAAAAAAATTACTGCTTTTTGCTTCATTGTAAAGAAGGATGCAATCTGTAGAACTATTGCTTCACACGATACAACTTTTTCAATCATTCAAGAAAATGAACACTCATATATGCTACAGTTTAGCAAACTTAATAGTCAAGATGATAGAAAACAGAAAAATGTACTGAAAAAAGTGTATAATTTTACCAGCAGATTCACTGCAGTGGAATGGTTATCTAATAAACACGCCTAAACGGGACTGAAAATCTACATTTCAGCACTGTAGCACCTTACAACCAGAAAATTCTCCCATGTGATTGCAATTTTTTCCTAAATAAATAGCTAATTTGATATTAATAGAAGATTTGTCAATGGGTAGAATTATGTGCAACTGATGGAGAACACAGCATGATTTATTGATATTGATTCATGGGATAGATTTTATCATCAAAAATTAGTTTTTGTACAGTGTAAAATAAGGTTTGATGCAGAGAAAACAAAGATGCATGGTACTAAATGGTCCCATTCACCATGCATCATATCTTTTTTGATTAAAACATGTTGTAAAATATTAATTATATCATTTGAAGGGATGCTTTTAGTTTACTTCAGCAGTTTTATTAAAGAATAACATTTAGAAAGATGCTCTTAATTTAGTGAGTCAGTTTTATTGGAGAATAACATTTAGAAACACACCCCTTAATTTGCTTAAACTATCACAATAATAATAATAACATTAAAAGATTCAGATGTTAATGTGGCAGCAAAGTGTTCTTTAAGGTTTCTTAAGCTTTTGCTCAGCTTGTATTACACCAATCTGTTCTTGCACTCACTCCTGCTAACACAACCCCTTTTTTGTCTTTTTAGCATAATTATTAAGCACCACCTTCTTCACACTTATGCAACATAAAATTCAGGAGCAGAATCACAAAATTTTTAAAAGCAGTCTATATTTAAAATTTCTGATATTCTGTTAAGAGTTCCCAGTTCATCATATCAGCATTCAGTTTTGGATTTACACAGCCTTTTTTTTTTTTCCTTTGTCTTAAACACCACTTTTCCCCGACTTACATCACATAAAATTCAAGACTAAAATCCCAAAACATTTAACAATCAGTATACCCTTAGAATTCCTGGTACAGTTTCAAGTGTTGCGTACTTTATTTTTTGTATTTGTTATATTATTGCTTTAAAAATAACACATGGGGATCAAATTTGGTAACAATATATTATTTGAAAAGTGATATGAACAAAAAAGTGAGCCCTGACACTCATAGCCCTTATGATGCTAAAAACATTCATAAAGATAGCTTAATTAAACCTCTCAGTAACTGCTTTTTACTTGTGTGGGAAAGCCTAATATATTATATTACTGGAACTTCAAAGAAAATTGACCCATAAATAAATTCTCTAAATGGCAGCCTTAGTGGATGCTTTCTTAAATCTAAAATAATGTTCAATTGCACCAGGCAAATTAAGTAACCAGAGCCATTGTACAGTCAAGTTGTTATGCAATCAAAAGCTACATGACAGTTTACTATAAGAATTTTAATTTAATTCACATTATATAAAATATGTAATTTTTAAATTTAATAATATATAAAAAAATTTATTTAAACTGTTGATTCTTAAATACAGTTCAAAAACAAAATACAACATTATTGCAAGAAAAAATACTGACCCTTTAACACAGTTTTCTTGCAGCACAAGAGATTCATTTTTTTCTGGGGGACCTACACAAGGCAACAGTTAAGAATTATAAATTAATATTTGTAAAACAAGTACATTACATTAAATATAAGAGACCTAATCATGGATTTTATACAGCAAAAAAAGAAATAATCAGTAACTGAAAAATCTATTATATACTATTTAGTGATTTTAGTACTTTGGTTTGTAAACAAATATTATTTATACTTTCTGAAATGGTTATTACACATATCAGTATAAAAAATTCTTCAATTAGCCTAGAAGAATTATTTAAACATTGTTGAAGAATTAAAAAAAATTCCAAATTGATTTTAATGAAACTAGTTATTAATCATATTATGGTACACTTCTGTTATCAAGACCAGATTCCAAAATGTATATATGTATGCATGTGTATGTGCATAATATTTATACATGAACAAATACATACATTTTTTAATCTGGTCTTGATAACAAAAGAGTACCCATATCAGTATTATGGCTGATGAATTAAAAAATATGTTTTTTTTTTTTTTTTTTTTTGCTTTAGAAAGTTTTTTTTTTGCCTGTTGTTGTACAGGCACAGCCTTAAAAAAGGCAATAATAGTTCTTTCAGCTTAGTAAAACCTCTTTAAATGGAAGTTTTAATGAAACAATTAATATTTTACATCCGAATTAGGATTTAAGAATATATTGTATTTTGAAGCTAAGTCACTTGTGTCTGAACATTAACTTTGATACATTTTCTGTAATAAATCACAATGTAGACTTACTGAGACCTGTACACATTTTTATTTAATTTATTTTACATTAAAGAATATAGTTTAAGAATAATAAATACATAAATTAAGTATACTGATGATATTTGGCAACACAAATCAGTTTCTTAACAAACTTGATAATCTTAAACAATGGAAATATAAAAGTTACTCAGACTTTTCCATCTCAAAGAGTATATTCAGCATGAATAACTGATACAAAACACATTAATCCATTTGAGAACGCAATTCTGAACAACAACAAAACAAAAAAAAAAAAAAAAAAAAAAGGGGTGGCACAGCCTGAGTAATAATTGCAATTATTAGTCAGTATGGAAAAACAGCCATCGGTATTAGACTGATTTAAAAGAAATAGTTTTTAGAAGTGTAAACATAAAATTTGGTATTGATTTCAGTTTAGTCCCTAAAATGAGTGACCCAAAGCCAGGACCATCAGAATGCAGAAATTAAGCAGTGATTGTGAAAGTGATGATTTATTGTCTGCAGGAAATAGAAAAAAAGAACCAAAATGTTGTTATTATTGATAATGATCTATAATATGAAGAAGGTATGAATATGAATATAGAACTGTTAGATGATATACCTGATAAGATTTTTGAAGAAACTGATTGGGAAGATTATAACGAAAGTAAAATTGAAGAGCTTGAAACTGAAGTTAGTGAAGATACTGAGAGATGGGGGTGGATGATGCAGATTTAAAAAAAAAAAAAATTCCTTTTAAGGGCAACCTGGGTTTCCAAAAGTTACCAAAGGGGGTTATCCATATGATTTTTTTTTAAATCTGTACAATTTTCCTAAAAACTTACTTGTAGAATATATTTACTTTTCTTCATTACTGAACCTAAAATAACCATTTCATGTTATCTGACTATTTTTGGAATAAATGTTATTCCATTTTAATCATGTCTTTTTATTTTATTTTGCATTGCATACATGGTGTTCAATCACCTTATTTGTATGCAGTGATTTATGAAATGACCAATTTCTATTGACAACATATTTTTTTATTAAAAATGGTCTATAAAAAGCATATACAAATTTTCGCTTCTGGGGATGGTCTCCAAAACAATAACGCCACCTTGAATGGGTTAAACTACTCAAACACAAAAAAATTCTTAAGCAGAAGATGAAAGTAACAACTACTAAATCTTATATGTGAGTGAGTAAGCACTTGATGCAGCATGGTTCAGCTATGTCCTACTTAAACAATTACAAACCAGTATTGCTACTTTCTTGAAATTACACTGAATATACAATATGCTCCCATTCAGGACATAGCCATTTTTAATATTATGAAATAAATTACCATAGCAAAAAATTACAATCAAAGGCAATATCATTAATTATATAAAAAAAAGGAGGAGGGAAAATAGAAAGCTTAATAAAATATTTCAAAGGTTCTATAAAATAAATTCAGTTTACAATTTTCATCTAAATACAAATTTCTTTGTTCTTTGTTACCATTTTCTAAATCAAATGTACATAACAGAAAATCAATTTTCATTATACTACTTTTAAGTTTAAAAAGGTCTAATATTATTATCAATATATGAAAGTTTTTTAAGATCAAGCAAATAAAGATCTCATAGCTTCCATATTTTTGTTCAAGTGTCATTTTAAAAATTGTAATTTAATCCTAAAAATAAAATGAATGGGAAATTAAAGATATCTTTATAACAGCTGAATTATTGACATTCAAATAAATTTAGTTTTTAAAGTTGAATTTTTCTCATGACAAACATACTTGACAGATATCCAAGGCATTATAAATAATGCTATTAGACAAATAATAATAGTTATTTAGTATCAGAATATAGAATAATGCATTTTAATCTTTAATTAAAATGAGATACCAAAAAGGATTTTTACATAAGCAGATTTGTATAGAATATTTAATCTTTTTTTCACAGTAAGTTATCGATAAATAGTGACTAAATAATGGAATCCTAAGCAATTTCTAGAGATTTTAAGTGAAAATAATATAAATGAAACTGTTTCAGATTTTTTTTTTATCATTAGTTGAAAAAAAAGTTCTCGAGAACTCCATATTATGAACAGTTGCAAAACAGAGACAGGATGTCTTTGATGTTTCTAAAATTGCAGCACAATTCATCATCTATCAAGTAAACAGTAGGTTAGGTAAGATATATTCAGATTATGTATTCTACTGTCTATTCATATTCTACATGCCTTGGAAACATTTTTATGTTTTCTACAAATCTTATCTATTACTGATATTCGTGTATCATTAATTTAGGATTTTACTTTATGTTCAAAGAATGTATTCTTGCTATTAGAACTATGTACTGTCCTAGTAAGCTCTAGTAATATAACAGACCTATCAAATAATATAACAAACCTATCACACGGCTATCGGTTTTAACCCTCTAAGCGGCAAGGCCATATATATATGGCCTAGAATATTTATTGTGATATCTGTAAGAACAAATGTATACGTGCATATTAAAATATGTCAACGAAATTAAGGCAATATATCAAAAGAAAACAAATCCAGGTATGAAATACCAGTAGGTTTTATATTAAAATCAAAAAAATAATTTGTTCTCATAGTAGTTTTGGGAAATTTGTACTTTCTTAGCGAAACCACTGGCCGCCCAGAAAGTTAAGAGAGTGTAGTTTTAAAACTGTGATATGCTCTTTCCCACAGAACATTTCAATTTTAAAACTGTGTTTCAATGTCTATTAAACCTAAGAAATATTATGTTAATTTTATATGTTTATAATTAATATTAAGTAAATGAAAACTGAATCTTCAATTTTATTTTCCAGATTAATAAATTTTCATATAATTGTCTTTATAAAGCTTAAGACAATATTATAGCATAAAAGTTGCTGCAGTATGAAAGTTACCTTATCTAATACAACTGAAGTGCTTACAGCAAGAAGATAAATAACATTTTTTTAATTTTTGAATGAAAAAAATTCAAAAAATTCATTTTTTAACTTATGTTTTAAACACTTGTCCTCATTAAAAGTGCTAGTAAAAAGGATTTTTTTACAGCTATGCAAAGAAATATTTTTTCTAAACAAAAAGGACACATGAACACAAAATCTACCAAAGTGAAGTTGGGCCCTTCTGCAAGCCCTTCAATTTTTAAATTAGAACCATGAGTCAATGATAAATCATTCAAAAGAAATTTAATTGTGTAATTGTCTTTAAAGAACTTTGGATATAAAAGTGAAACTGTATATATAAATTATACCTACTTATATATATTATATATATATATATTATCATTTATTATGCATATTTACAATAAATATCATTTAGACTTTGGGGGAGGAGAGGAGCATGTGTCTATGTGTATTTAGACACACTCCTCTCCTAGACCTAAATCAGGCATAACCAGACTCTGACTGATACGAAGTTTTATTACATTTTCTAAATAAAAATAATACTATGTTATTTTTTTAGCAATGAATTTCACTTTTTATATTTTATGTAATTTTAAACAACTTCAAATTCTGTTTCATTTCTGTGTCTTAATACCACAAGATACAACATTCAGAAAAGTAAGGGTTATCAAGGACAGCAGAAAAGACAAACACATCAATCAGTATAATCAATATAACATATTATATTGATGATCTATTTTGAATCTTATTCAATAGCACTGTGAATATGTTTCATTCTAACTTGTGCTAGGAAAAAAACATACAATTCATTTAAAAAACTACTTAAACAGTTTAGGATTAGTTTTTATAAACATATGTTGATCCTCATGTTTGTTACATAGGAAAATTGAGCAATTATTTTTAATACAAAAATCCTGCTTAGTTTACATGACATTTTAAAGAACATTTGTTTATCAAACTGCAATTTTTCCACGTAATGCACTGTCCCAGCTTACTTATTTTAGAATTAAGAGCAGTTTAAAAAAAAAGTGCCAGTTTTCCTTTTGAAATTACTGCATTATTTTTCACTTGAATAAAATATTTTTTATATTATTGTAAAGTTTTTTCTAAAGATTATTTCTATTAAAATCAGTTGACAATCTGACAATGATATATATTAAGACACAATAACACGCTGAATAAATACTAATTCAGAAGTCAAACAACAAAAATCAGCGTTATATTTACAAAATTTTCACAGGACTAGTTTCGAGGTTTTACCGAACCACCATCTTCAGCTGCAAAACCGCAAATGAATCGATTCATTTGCGGTTTTGCAGCTGAAGATGGTGGTTCGGTAAAACCATCGAAACTAGTCCTGTGAAAATTTTGTAAATATAACGCTGATTTTTGTTGCTTGACTTCTGAATTAATGATATATATTGTTTAAACCTTGTGTTTTGTAAAACTTTTCTGAAAACACAAGAATAGTATGAATTATTAATTTATAATTATATTAAATAACTACATTAATTATAAAATGCAGTATCATTGTTAGCTCAGAAGGGCTGTTACTTTTGTTTTGGCATTTTGCAACCATTCACTATAAATGGGCATCACTTTTCAAACTGTTGCCTCGGAATATTATCGCCTTGTGTTATATTTTAAGAAATTAAATAATGAAGAATCTGAATAAATGTAAGTTTTTCGTATTGTGATAAAATAACGGTACCTAGAGCCATCAAATTTTGAATAATGTAATCCTCCACAAAATATGGGCATCTGGAAGCCCTAATTTGGAATTTGGAATATGTTTTATTATCTATTTCACATTTTGTAACAGTTTAATGAATTTTTAATTAACAAACTCAATGATTTCTAAGCAAGCAATGGTAACAGTGTATGGGAAAAAAACAATTGTCTCCAGGGTGTGAGATTGCGTATCGAAAGTTCTAAAGAATTGCTCATTTAAAAATTTTGGCTCTACTCTTATACGCGCCCTAAGATCCCCAAACGTGGCGATATGTGTTCTGCGCTGGTTTTTGGTGTGATTGCACGTTGTATGGCAACCCTTTTGACATTGAATATGCTTTTGCTGGAGTATTTTAATTGCTCGTTGGTTCGTGTCATGTGTGTTTTGAAATGGCTTATGTTGAAATGAGAGATGTGGTTGCAAGAGGGTCTAGGGGATTATTTTTAGTGTCTGTGCATGATAGAAGTAAGGAAATGCTGATGCAGTGTATTAAAGAGTGGGTTGAGCCTTGTGCAACTAGTTTTTTCGATGGCTGGAAATCTTACAAGGATTTAGGAAAAGAAGGTTTTGAGCATTTATTTGTGAACCATAGTATGAATTTTCTGGATAGTGTGCCTGGCTGTCATATAAATATGATAGTGATTACGTATTGGCATGTTAAAGGCGGCATGAAATTGTTGTTCTGCTGTTCGAAGAAGCATTCATTCAAGGTAAGTGCATTTTATTTTATTCTTGTTCTTACTTTGTAGAATGTTATGTTCATGTGGTCATACTAGTCAAAATACATCATTTTACAGTTCAATATACTACTTATAATATAAATTTCTACAAAATTCCATTTATTTGACAGACAGATTTGTATTTACTTCTACAAAAGCTTTTACCCATTAAGTTTCAAAAAATACTTTATATCGTTAACACTACACCCCTTTCAAATATGCATAAAAATTTAAAGAAAATTTGTTCTTTGGGATCCATACATAGTAACTGTATATGCTCATGAGTTTTTAGTTTTAATTTGTAAATTTAAGCATAAGTTTTCAGCAAATTGGAGTTTTTTTCCCCCCTGTATGTTTCTGCAGTGCTTTAGTCAACTTTTTTTTTTTTTTTTGTTTGTTTGCATGAATCTGAAATCCATAATTGTTTCTATTTTGTTTAACATGCTAATTATAATCACTATCTTATGTGTTACTAGAGAAGAAACACACAACTGAAATTTACATCTACAATATACATTCCACTACATATGCATATTTTTTATATATCCATCCACCACATATATATCTTTTTTATTTATATTTATCCTTTCTGCTATATATACATATTTTTTATGACATTTAAGTTTTTTGAGCTCATAAACAAAAACATTTGTCATTGTGTCTTTTTTAAAAATAAATTTTTCTAGAAATTATTAATACCTTTAGTTGCTAAAATATTGTTAATTTTAAGCTTCAGAAAATAAAGAACATATGTGCTAAAATAAATCTGAGAGGTATGGTTATTTAAAAGAAAATTAAAAAGAAAGACAGTTCTGAATAAGAATTTAAATTTATTCAGTAATCTATACCACTCAAAGAAAAGAGAAAGTTACAGAAATTATATCAATAAATGCAGGTGAACATAATTAATCAGTACCTGAATGAACAGATTTTAAATAAGTCTGAATGGCAGGTAAGACAAATTTACGAGTCAGAGCAATATTTTCTTGTTCAAAAAGATTCACAGGTTTCTCAAATAAGGGCAGAGGATGCAGGCTTAAACTTGGATTGTTTAAACTTAGCAGGTAATTCGACATCTGCAAAAAGTTTAAAGATTTATAGAAATATTCACATATACTTATATGAAAATTTATTTTTTCAAAGCACATTACATCTACATATTTATATCAAGATAAATATCATAATACAGTCAAAAGTCTTTAATCCGGATGTCCAAAATGCGGAATCATCTATAATCCGGACCTCAAAGCTACAAACTTTCTGTGCATGTGTCAATGCATCACATAATACCTTTACGCATGCGCATAATACGTTTACGGATGCGTGTTTAATGTATAACGGATGGTATAAGCTAAGCTAAAATGATCTAACTATCTATTTCAGTTAATGTTGCAGATTGCGTTGTTCCTTAATCTTCTAATTGGATCCGACTTATTATTTTTTGCAGACTGTTAAAGAATTTTATAAAAGTAAACTTGGACTTTCGATTACGTCAAAAAGAATTTCCGATTCTAGAGCTGCCAAAGGATCTACAAAGCGAAAGCCTGTTTCGATGTGCATCAAACAAAAAGTGGAATTGCTGCATAAAATAGATAAAGGCATATCCTTTGTTTCCTAACCATTCCGAAATTTGTTTATCAATTTCATGCTGCTCTGCCGGGGAGAGGGGGGAAACGTCGCGGCGTGCAATGAACTGGAAGTTGATCTGTCACCACTATCCTGATCTTCAGAGCAGATGATTTTATTTTATTTGGCTTATAATTCCTTATTACATGTAGTATTTCATCTCAATGTACTCAGTCTTTGATATGATTTAAATCAAATTCCTCATCATTATAAAATATAACGAAATATCATGAATACACATCAAATAGTTTTCTGGTTGTTTCTATGTGTAATGTATGCTTTATGCATGCACGCTTTAAAAGAAATGTTTAATAAAGTAAAGAAATAAATATCAAGTTTTTTTTGTAAATTTTGATACCCTTTAGATGATAATTGCTCTTCATTCATAAATTACGGTTTCATATTTTTAATTTTATAATTTCTGCATGCCATCTTACCAGATTTAAACTGATGACCTATAATCCGGAAAAATCGATAATCCGGAATCTCCGAAGTTCCGACGAGTCCGGATTAAAGACTTTTGACTGTATTTAAACTTTTTTCTCTAACTTTCCCCTTAAACTGTGACACATATTTTGGAAATACGAAAGGGAAAGAATTATTTGCATCGGATAAGCTAGAATAAGTATCCATAATGAATACATTACAAGTCAATAACCCTCCAACGGCCGAGCAGTTAAGGTTGCTGAATACTGGTAATCCAATTTGGGTTCAAATCCAAGCGAATGGGCTGGCTGCATGGATGTTTTTTGTATTTTTCTTCATCTATAACATGAATACAAGGCAGTTTCCCTTAGAAAATCCTCTACAAAGGTAGCTTCATTCAGATGGCACTCGTGTGCTTTGCCATAATTAAATACCTTAATTTTCAGAATTCAACAACTGATATAACACACAACAATTTTTAAGCATATTAATTATGCAGTACGGAGTTCAATATTTGGACTAGTCAGAACTTTGGCAACAGATATTACATCACTTTAAATCTAGTAAGTCAACATGTAGTAATTATAAAATTAATAATATGAAACAGTGGTTTATGAAATAATGAAACATTTATAACCTTAAGGGAAACAGAAAAAAAAAATCAGTATTTATATTTTTGGTTTGAACTTTTCTAATCATAAAATACTTCGTAGTTATTTTCATCAACACTTAAATTCCCTAATTCAATAAGCTTTGTCTCAAGATCAAATACACTCATCCAAATTAGGATAATGCAAAATCAGGCAAAGGAAAAGTTAGAAGCAAAACAAATTTGACTTATTTGTAAAGCTTATTTATTAAACAAAAGGTAAAGAGCAAAAACAGATGCTATATGTTTGATATTATTAAAAAAATTAGCGATTTTTTTTCTCCCTGGAGCAAATTACCAAAAAAAAAAAAAAAAAAAAAAAAAACTTATTTACAAAAAACCAATATTACATGGTTGGTTTGATTGTTAATACATTGTATGTCTCCCAGACGATGCAATACAGTCCGTACAACGCCTAGGCATCTGAGTATCAAATTATCGATCTGATCTTGGGGGATATTACATCACTCAAAAAGCAATGCACTCCGAAGTTCCGGTAGACATGTAGAAGGAGGTTGACGGGCTGCAACTCGTCGGCCAAGCATGTCCCACACGTGTTCTACTGGTTCAAGTCTGGTGAGAATGCTGGCCAGTCTGTACGGGTGATATCCTCCGATTGAAGGCATTCGCTTACGATATTTGCACGGTGAGGACTGGCGTTGTCATCCATAAACAAATTGTGTGCCCATGGCACCCCGAAACAAATGTACATGTTGTTCCAGAATGACGTCCCGATAGATATGGCTTGTCATGATTCCAATTTGAACATGAAGGTCAGTTCTGGAACCCAGAATAATTCCACCCCAAACGAGCACTCCTACACCACCGTAACGGTGTCGTTCAATGATGCTTTCTTGGTGGTAACGAATACCTGGAGCTCTCCATATGAAAGTCCGGCGAGAATCAGACTGCAAGCTAAACCTGGACTCGTCGGAAAACATCACACAAGCCCACTGTTGCGGTGTCCACAGTGCATGCTCTCTACTCCAGGCTAACCGCAGGCGACAGTGAGTTGCAGTAAGTGGAACGCATCTGACAGGTCTACGAACATATAAACCAATCTGCCCTAAGCGTCTGTACACGGTCTGCCTTGAAATTGTCGTACCAGTGGCTGAAGAGAGCTGACGAGGCAGGTCTCAGGCTGTGCTCCACCTGTTTGTTTTGGCAGTAACTGCCAAATACCGGTCCTTATTCGGCGCTGTAACTCTGGGGCGACCTGTGCTGTAACGTCTACTCACATTACCATCATCTTGGAATGTTGCCAAAGCCTGGAGATGACACTCTGGGCAATTCCGTCTGATACTTCCAGTTGGGTCGCCCACATTCCAGACGGCCGATAATTTACCACGTAAAAAATCATCCAAATGCGTCCTTTGTGTCGGTTATTGCACTGAAATGCTTATAAAGCGCCTGCGAACAATTTTACTTCTTTGCCTGTATTCCTTATATATCACTCTCTTACACTCTCGTCATTGTGACGTACCATCGGTGTCATCTGGTTACTTTCTGAAATTTGTATATGATTCTTGAAGGTGTGTGTAGTGATTTTACAGGTGATATATTTATTTTAGAGATAGATTTCCGTGAAACTCCGAATTATCCTTAATTTATGGACATGAGTGTATATTCCAGATTTAGAACCATACTACAGATTTTGCCATCTGTTAACTGATTGATGATCAGTGCATTTTCCACTCCAATGAGAAACTTTTATTACACGCCCTTCATTGATTAACACTCCTCCATATTTCTTTACAAATTCCATCAACTAGAAACTTTTGCTTTTTGCTTGCAATATCTGAAAACCTTGTCTATTTCCGACACCTGCTTAAGGCTTATCTAAATCATGAATAAGCAAATCTCCATGTCCTCTTAAGGTTTATGCAGGAGCAGTAGTAGACATTTTGTGGCTCAATGCAGTCTTTACATGTCCTGTACTCAAAAAATTTTGCTGCCTCTAATATTTGCATTGCATTAAATTCTAAAGATTTTGCCATCCTTAACTTTTTTGCTTGGTGCTCCTCTAAATTCTAAAAATTTTGCCTACCCCAAATTCTGCTGCCTGGTGCAGCTGTACCAAATTTGGCACCGGTCCTGGGCTCATCTAAGTAACAGATCAGGTCTTCTCAATTCAAATAGCACTAAATGTAATATTTTGGCCTATGAGCATTATTTATAAAATCTCTCTCTCTCTCTTTTTTTAATATGGAAAGAAATTTGTTAAACCTTTTCTCATCGACATGCTCAACACTTCATAGTACAGTCAGCTGAAGTCTGTAATCATTGAAGTGTAATGTTAACATAAAAAATTACCTTGCTCTTTGGTATTTAATTAAGAACATTTTGTAAACAAAACAAAACAAAACAACAACAAAAAAAAAACCTATTTAGACATTATTGGTTCTTCTCAAGCTGCCGTCAGGACAAGCAGTGATGAAAACAAAAAGTGTTAAAGATTCCTCAGGTTGGCCTATTTAGTGCTGAAATGAAATTAAGAATCGGGACTTTCCATGTTTATTACGAAAAAATATCAAATGTTCATACATACACCACACCAAAAAAAATTACCAAAAAACAGACAGAGAGAGAGAGAGAAGTTGCTGGTGCCATGGATTTTAGATCATTTTAGATATTAGATGATCTTTGGACTTTGTACTGTAATATGTATATAACATAACACTCACTTCTAAAATGAAATAATATATGCTGCATTGTACTTCTTACTTACATTTATCTGATACTGAATATTTAAATTAAGAAATCAACATATGCTGTCCGACCACACATTCTAGACTTATGTAAACATCCAGTTTGGGGCAGAAGTGAGCATATCTATCAGTGATGTAGGGGTGAGTGCAATATTGTAAGAAAAAGCCCTAAATCACCCCCGACCTTTGAGAAGAAAAAATATCCACGACCCCTTCAACCTCTGAGAGGGAAAAATACACAAGCTTTTTACCCACACCCCTTCAGCTAAACTGACTCATCTTGGCTCTCAGCCAAACTGCTTTTGGTAGTGTGGTTAGAAAATATCTGCAGTGATACTTATTCAACAAAATAATCGACTTCATACTTTTTTAAAATTCAACCTGCGCACCAAATTACATATTAATACGGCAAACAAGGTTATGTTATACTAGTATGAAATGAACAGATTTAGATGAAGTAAATGTGGAAAATCTCAAAAAAATTTGCAAGAAACAGCTGCAAATTTTTTAATGATGAGTTCTAGAAATTAGAGGATCAAGAACACAAAATATTAAAAATAGCAATTCTGAAGAAGAGCAAAAAGAACTTTCAATGGCATTTCTAAAAACTAGCTTAGCTTTCATAATGGAAATTACGGTCTTATTTATTGAAAATGATGCAGAGAGTGTCATGAATGCCTTGTCCCATTATTGACAACTTCTTACAGAGAGCAAAATAAAAATAAAAATGACCTTAGATATCTTCTTAATAAAAAAAAAAAAAAAAAAAAAAAAAAAAAAAAAAAACTGGAAATGCAGAAAAATCTGAATGATCTAAAATATAAATGGTGACTTAAAATTTCATTTCTATATATTCCTTCATTATGTTTCAGCATTTGTATGAACTAAGCTTTTATTTTGTATTATTATAAAAACATATTTTATGAACTTCACAAAATACGTGAACAATTTTTTTATACCTGATTTTCTCTAACCATTATTTACATGATGTTGAGATGACCTTGTTTAATGCCATTTCATATAACACTCTACTTTGATGAAATGTATTAACCCCTGTATTAAGTGAGGTTTGACTGTAAAATGATTGATTACTTTTAAAAGCTAGATATAATTTTCGGTTTAAAATCTAACCCCCCCAAAAAAAAACACTTAATAGTTCATTCTCATTTTCTTTTCCCTTAAAACGTCTTCATAGTAGGCATATCTTTTCTATTATTTCATTTGATCCATATTCAAATCAATGGATATTCATTACAGTTGTGAAGAGAATTAACTCTTTGATTAAATTTTAAAATATCGTAATTTTTCTATAATGTTAGAATCTTCAGTTTGTCCAAGAAAAATATGAAAAGTTCAAAACAATCATGGAGTGCAACTTCCTGATCATGAGAATATTCTGCTATATGTTTGGTTATTGATTTCTAAATTGAATTCTTTCCACATAACTTTTTCATTCACTAAAGAAATCGGATTAGCTTCTATATTAGCTGCAAAATCCATGCTACATGTAAGATACTGAAATCTGCTCCAAAGTTCTTCATTGTCAAACCTATATTTTCTTTTGCTCACTGGAAAAAGAAAATTAGTTAAGGGTAATATGCTTTAAATATTTTGATCATTTGTTGTTTCACAGATAAAACTAACAGGCAGTGTTCCACATTTTTACTTTTATATTAAAATCTAAAATTCCACGGTATGGCCAAGAGCAATATCAAAAATTAACATCACTTTTTATGGTAACTTTTGAAATGGGCAAAAATGTTAAATTGCTGAAATAAAACAGTGACTAGGAAAATGCTCAAATACAGATGGAGTTGCACACGAAATAATTCACTTAGAGTGAACCAAAATCATATTAAAAAAAATCCTTGTTTATAATATAGACAAGAAATGCAAGTATAAGCTGACATAAATGATGAGAGTATTAAGTAAATGTATTAACAAAAACATTAATTAAAATGCAAGAATAATTATTAATTAATCGGTAATTGGTAGAGCTCTGTTATCAGGGAGGGGAATGGATCCAGAAATGTATGCATGCATGCACATATATATGATGTATGTATACATGTAAGCAGGAATGCATGTGCATATATATACATATATGTGAATGCATACATTCATCCATTTCTGAATCTGGTCCCAATAACAAAACAGTACACAATAATTTGAAATAATTTATTTTAAATTAAAATCAAATATAAAGTTACCTTTTCTAAAGATTCTGCATTATTATTGTAAATTGCTATTTGTCGCTTTATTGTTGCTTTATCCTTAACAATTTCAGATCCATGCATTATTATGCACATCAGATTCTCCTCTGATACCATTTTATTGAGAGCAGATAGAAAGGACTCTTGTTTGAGGATATCCTAGAAATATTTTCTAGTTGTCATACACAGTTTTTGAATTCAATTTTATATTATATTCAAAAAGTTTATTATAATAAGAAAGATGTTATTAACACATACCTGTAGTAACATAGGAAGAGAGGCAATAGCAACTGAGAGAGAATTCTGTTGCACATATTTTGTATCTCTTCGTAGCAGCTGTTCTGGTGTTAAATCTAGGAATAATTTTATTAGGTTTAGCATTATGATTAGCAAGGCAGCTATTTTAAAGACTATGTAAACTAATAAAATTACAAAGAAGTTCATGTAGTAAGTATGAGGGCAAATCAAAATCTAACTTCCATTGTGACGTGGTGCTACTAATACTATGCGGAGCACAACCATTGTTACATCAAGCAATCTGTGATTCAGTAAGCTTTCTGTTGTCCTAATGATAGTGTCATACTGCCACGGATATGCTGGTTATAATGTCACAAGATGTGCGCTGCTACTGACAATCCCACCAAATGTGGGGAGTAATACAATTTCTTTGGGCAAAAAAAAATCTGTCAGCAGCAGACATTCATTGTGAATTTTGTATCATATATGACCCAAACATTATTAGTGAAGGTGTAGCGTGCCAGTGGGTGAGATTTTTCCAAGAAGGAAAAACAAACATTCATGATGAAACAAGGAATGGGACGCTGCCTACAGTGAGTGATGGTTTTGTCAAACAGCAGCCCCCTACCGCCTGGACTAAGCTCCTTCTGATTACCATCTGTTCCCTGCAATGAAGAAGTGGCTTTGGGCACAGTACATCACTGATAGAAATTTCAAACTGCAGTGACAAGTTGGTTGAAGTCGCAGGCGGCTGAACTTTTATGCAGAAGGGACTGGTAAATTGGGAAAATACTACAAGTGCTTGAACTAAACACGGTGACTATGTTGTTAAATAGAGGACAGCTGTTCCTTTCAGATCTAAATAAAAATCTGTTGAATGTATGCGAGTTCTTTATTTACAGTGAAATGGATACTAATTCAGAAGTCAAACAACAAAAATCAGCGTTAATTTACAAAATTTTCACAGGACTAGTTTCGATGGTTTTACCGAACCATCATCTTCAGCTGCAAAACCACAAATGAACAAGATAGGAAATAATGTTTAGATAAGATAAGAAAGCCTGGACAAGAATAAGCAAGTGGCGCCATCTGTTGGCGAAACCAGAACTAAAACATAATTTCTCTAAAAGCCGAAGGCAAATTTGGATTGGAATTAGGATCGTTAACTAGAACAGAAAGATTTTTATGAATGTGAAATGCCTCTAGAAAATCCAGTTCTCCAATGGAAGATGTTTTTTGAATAATTTTGGCAGCAGAAAAATTGAAAGTGTGATTTTCGGACCAACAATGTTGAGCAACAGAAGACTTCTGTGTTTCCTTTTTTCTAACATATGCTCCTGTTCTTTGACGCGAAATTTTAAGGCTCTCTTAGTTTGGCCAATGTAAATTAAACCGCACTGGCAAGGAATCCTATAAATACCCCAGGAATTCATATCCGGAATGGGGTCCTTGAGTATAGAAGTTGGAATTTTATTGATGGGAGAGTAAACAACCCGAAAGTTAAATTTCTGCAAAATATGTGCAACTTTATAGCTAATTGATGGAAAGAAGGGAATGACAACAGAATTTTTATAATCTCCTAAAATAAGAGTGTGGCTTTAGTGTGTTGAGATGAGAATTTTTTAACTGCTTGATTAATAATGTTGGGTGAAAGCCCCTGTCAATAGCTATTGCTTTTAAATAATTTAGTTCTTCATCAAGGGCTAGTTTGGAGAGCAAACTTGAAGAGCACGGAAAACATAGGAATAAAATGAAGCTAACTTTTGTTTAGTCGGATGACATGATTTAAAGTGTGGTGGAAGGCAAAACCGATGAAGGTTTACGGTAAACTGTAGTACTGAAGTTGGATGTGTTGCGTGTGACCAGAATGTCGAGAAACGGAAGAGAATTGCAAGTCTCAAGTTCAAAGTGAACTGAATAGCAGGATCAATAGAATTCATTGTTGAAAGAACTCTATTTAAATCATCTTTATTACCTTCAAACAGGGTAAAAGTATCGTCTACGTAGCGGAACCATGCCGGGAAGTTTAAAGTTTCAAACAATTTTGATTCATAATAATGCATGTAGATATCAGCCAGGATGGGACTGAGGGGGCTTCCCATGGCTAATCCCTCAGTTTGCTTGTAATATTTATTTTGGAAAACAAAATGTGTTTGTTTCAAACAGAGTTGAGTGAGAGAAATTAGCTCATCAATTTCGATGCAAGAGAAATGAAATTCGCGAAGTCTGGTTTCTAGACATCTTAATGCACCCTCCACTGGGACATTGGTGAATAATGATTTTACATCAAAAGAAACCATGAGTAAATTACGAGGAGAAATGTTTTTAACCTTTTTTACAAACTCTATTGAATTTTTTATGGTGTAAATGTTATTGTCTAATAGAGTGGAAAATCTAGAAACTAAATATTTAGCTAATGGATACGAGGCAGTACCTAAAATTGATACAATAGGGCGGAAAGGAATACCACTTTTATGAATTTTGGGAAGAGCATATAATCTGGCACAATTCGCAACAGATGGGATAAGCGAATGTTTTAAGTTGCTTGAAATGATTTGCGAAGATTTGATCGCAGTTTTTATTTTGGATAAGTCCGAAGGTGAAGGATCTTTAGGGATTGGATTAACATTATTTCCTATCTTGTTCATTTGCGGTTTTGCAGCTGAAGATGATGGTTCGGTAAAACCATCGAAACTAGTCCTGTGAAAATTTGTAATAACGCTGATTTGTGTTTGACTGAATTGTATATTTCACTGTAAATACAGAACTCGCATACATTCAACAGATTTATTTAACACATCCACTTCAGTACTACAGTTACCGTAAACCTTCATCGGTTTGCCTTCCACACACTTTAAATGTCATCCGACTAAACAAAGTTAATTTATTCCATGTTTCCGTCTCTTCAAGTTTGCTCCTCCAAACAGCCCGATGAAAGAACTAAATTATTTAAAGCAATAGCTATTGACAGGGGCTTTTCACCCAACATTATTAATCAGCAGTTAAAACTTCTCATCTCCCACTAAAAGCCACACTCGTATTTTAGGAGATTATAAAAATTCTGTTGTGATTCCTTTTCCATCAATTAGAGTTGACATATTTTGCAGAGTTTAAGTTTACTCTCCCATCATAAAATTTCCACTTCTATACTCAAGGACCCCATTCCGGATATGAATCCTGGGGTATTTAGGATTCCTTGCCAGTGCGGTTTAATTTACATTGGCCAAACTAAGAGAGCCTTAAAATTTCGCGTCAAAGAACATGAAGCATGTTAGAAAAAAGGAAACACAGAAGTCTTCTGTGTGCTCAACATTGTTGGTCCAAAAATCACACTTTCTTTCAATTTTTCTGCTGCCAAAATATTCAAAAACACTCTTCCATTGGAGAACTGGATTTTCTAGAGGCATTTCACATTCATAAAAATCTTTCTGTTCTAGTTAACGATCCTAATTCCAATCCAAATTTGCCTTCGGCTTTTAGAGAAATTATGTTTTAGTTCTGGTTTCGCCAACAGATGGCGCCACTTGCTTATTCTTGTCCAGGCTTTCTTATCTTATCTAAACATTATTTCCTATCTTGTTCATTTGCGGTTTTGCAGCTGAAGATGATGGTTCGGTAAAACCATCGAAACTAGTCCTGTGAAAATTTTGTAAATTAACGCTGATTTTTGTTGTTTGACTTCTGAATTAGTATTTATTCGGCGTGTTATTGTGTCTTAATTAGTGAAATGGATGTTAGTTTCCGAATTGCCCTACTATTTCAAATTTAATGTGCAAGAAAAGACTTTAAATTTGTTATCTTAATACTGTGACAAAGTCACTTACAATATACATTTGTACTCAAGGACTACCCTATAATTTTCTTTGTATATATATTTCTGAATCTTTCTGTATGTTATAATTGTTAGGATAATCGATGCATTACCAAACAGATGGAATACTCAATAATATATAATCTGTTATTTGGAAATATCTTTTAAGAATTGCATCACTTAAAGCAGAGCACTGCTACATATAAGTCTTTTACTTAGTGCTGTGGCACTTTGGAAGCTGTTGCACTATTTTACAATTTTTAAATACTTTTAAATTGTAAAGAAAAATATTTGTAATAAAGTAACCTATTAAACTGCATTGCTTAATTAAATGTTATGACAGAAAAATTATAATTTTATTGACTGAAAGCATAACCTATAGAAATTAACACATTAAATTTGCTATGTTGAACCCTGGGCACAATACTATATCTTTTCTTTCAAACATCATTGCTCCCAGAGGATGTAAGAAGTCACCAGTCTCTTAGGATGAACAATTTAAAAATAATACTTTATAAATAATACACTATTAATTCAGTGAGTCATCAAAAGTAAATAAACATATGGTCTAGATTTAATGTGTTAAAATGTGCCATATTATTAAATAAAAATTGCCAAACAAAAATAAACCACTATAGACTTACTTGAAACATCAAATTTAACTTTCTGCAATGTTTCAAATATCTCCTCTCTGGATATACCTTCAAGATATTCTTCCAACTGCAAAACCACCATTCTGTCTTTTTCTGTAGCTCTTTTTGCACTCTCTTTTAAACAAACAGTGTCCAGTAAAATCGTTCCTATCAATTTCAAAAAATGAAGAAAATTAAAATAGAACTGCCCTTTTATAATGAGCACAAAATTTTTTTACCCAAGCACTTGCACGCTGTATTTTTATACGACACATAGGGGAAGGTAGCCTAATTTGGACCGTAGCCTTATTTGGACCGCTATGATATACAAAGACTGTTGATATCTGCGAGATTTGAGATAGGCATTTTGTTATATGTATGTAGCAATTGTGTTTTCATGTTATATATTCGTTTCACTCAGAAGAAAATCTGTTATTTCGACATAAGTGTGAAAGAAGTTAATTCATCTAAACGTAAGTAATTAGATGTCTTATTATACCATCACAAAACTTGCTTATTTATCTACAATTTGCAATTATAATTTTGCGAGGTTATGTTAGTTTGATGTTTCTGTACAATATCAAGCATTAAATATTCAAGTTTCCCCACTCGGACCGAAAACAGCTGCTGAAATTGAACTGGTGCAATTTCGGCAAAGACATTTTTTTCATGGATAAATTAATAATTAACCCTAGAATGCTACCCTTCGAAAAACTTACGGGAATGGCAACCATTCATCTCTAAGACGAAGTATGCGTAAGCGTGCTTAAAACTTATTTTAAAAGCTAATTGCAGAAATATTGCAGAACCCCTGTTTCACTTCTAGTCGTGAGGATGATGATGAAGATAGAAGTGATAATGAAAATAAACGATTTAGGACAGTTCTTGAAAAAATATCACCACGAGCGAAGCGAAAAAGAAAAATCAATCCAACTGGCCCTTCGTCTTCTCGCAGTGCATCAATAATAAAAAAAATAAAATAAAAAAAAAAAAAAAAAACAGTTCACCAAAGTTTAACAAAATGCAGAAACATAAAAAAGAAACTGGTGATTCATTGTTTTGTATATTATGTGAAGAAAACAAGAAGAAGAAATGATACAATGCATGAAATGTCACACTTGGATACATACTCGGTGTGCTGGAGTTAGTGCTACAATTAAAAGGTTCTTTTGTTGTAACTGCCGTTAAGAAAGCTCATGATATAATTTAGGAAACTAGCAGTCCAAATAAGGAAACGGGTTTCCTAAATTGAACCGATGACACGATTTTTTTGAATTCCTTTTTCACCATTATAAATAATTTTTAAAATTTAATAAATGGTTCTATTTTGAAGGTACACTTAGTGAGTTTCTTTTCGACTACTTAATTTTTATTGGCACTTCTTCCGTCCTTCTATATAGTGAAAAATACAAAACTGGTCCAAATTAGGCTACTCTACCCTATACACACAACTTTCCATTATAAAACATGTTTATATTGCTTGCAATTCTTTTTAATACCAAAGAAATTTTATTAGGTTTCATTGTTTATTTATAAAGAAAGTTTACAAATTTTTATTAATATTCCTAATTCCTATTTATGGTATACATCTTAGAAAAATAAGTTATTTTTGATACAAATATTTTGTAAAATATTTTACAAATATATATTTTACAAAATATTTGTAAAATATTTAACACAATATATTGAAAATGCATATTTGATCTACTTTTTGCAATTTTTTTGGTTAAAAAAAATCTTTAATTCCTTTAGAAAATTTCCTTGTTTGGGTTTTAATAATTTCTCTAAAGATACAGAGACACTGGGCCCAAGAGTATGGAGACCTTGTAGTGCCACATTCCCATGTATGCTAATAAAGGGCAGCATGAGCAAACAGCAACACTATTGCAAAGAGAATTGACACCTGGGACTGCCACAATAATTTGCCTCAATATTATTTTCTACTGATGTAATTACTCTTTCTGAAGCAGGTATACTTGTTGTTGTGAATGATCTTGCTTAATCAGAACAAGACCATGAATTTTATCGTAGGAGTACAAGACCGAGTCTATCAGTGCCAAGTCCTTGGACACCATATAGGTGACAGTATGATTCTGCCCAGTTCCACCCCAATTTTAAGGGAGAATACCTGGAGAAAAGTCAAACAGGCACACACCTCTATTCACCCTCAAACCACGAGAGGACTTTCGATTTGCCATATATTTAGAATGCCCTCCTCCATGCCACAAAGACACTATACATTTACGATATCCATGCCTATCCTGGGAACTGAACTCGGCCCTTCGGTATTGTACTCAGAATCACTAACCACTATTCTGTTGGTTGGCATAGGTATTATTTCTATTCGATTATGGAGAAGCCACTGGTTCAAACAGGCACACACCTCTATTCACCCTCAAACCACGAGAGGACTTTCGATTTGCCATATATTTAGAATGCTCTCCTCCATGCCACAAAGACACTATACATTTACAATATCCATGCTTATCCTGGGAACTGAACCCGACCCTTCGGTATTGTACTCAGAATCACTAACCACTATTCTGTTGGTTGGCATAGGTATTATTTCTACTCAATGATGGAGAAGCTAAGGATAAGGGCAAATAAATGTATCAAGACTATTATGAATAAAAGCAAAATACTTCAGCCTTTACTCCCATAATGTTCCTAGAAGGAATTTAAAGAAAGTTGTGCTGTATCTATTAGAAAAGAAGAGTTAAGAAAGTTAGAAACTAATTATAAATAATGTGTTTAAGATAACTATGACAAGACAACAGGAAAAGAAACAATTTACATCGCCAAAACTGGAGATTTTCTACTAGTGAGGGTTCACAGTTGAAGAAGAATTCATAGGCCATTCAAGAAAGTTCTCGAAATTTATTCCAGCAAAACTGGATTTGTAAAGATTGGTCAATAACAAAAAGTCACGAACAGTTAACTGGCCAATTCCAAGACTATTGTAGCATTGCCCAAACATTCTAATGAACAATATATATATATATATATATATATATATATTGTTCATTAGAATGTTATATCATTAGAATGTTATATATATATATATAACTGTTTGAAGAATGCTACTGGACATTTCTCTAAGAGGAACTTGTTTTACTGTCCCAAAGGGAGAGTTGCAATGTAAACTGAGGTTTTGTAAAAAGACAACAAACATTCAAGAATGATTTTGAACAGCTTAATGCGGCTCTTCTCCTGAAGGGTAGAGAAATTTTTGCTCTGCCTTGATTAGAAGAAGATGGCTCTCCAAGAAGGACAAACAAACTGGTATGCACTATTTCAACACCAGCCTGTTTGACTCTCTGTGTGAAACTTTATTTGAAAATTATGTAACTACGAGAATAGAAACTATAATCATTAAAAGGTTGCTATTAAAACCAATGAGATTCTTATTTTAATTTAATTACATTACACTGTGCATTACAGAATTGGAAGATGACGGTGCAGTTGGCAATAATAATAACACTATTAATGATCCTGCAAGTTTAGATTCACTTAAATGACTGCTGATACTTTGACAAATTCAGAAATTGCTGCGGACATCATGGCAAATTCATCACCGACAACAAACACAACTGAGAATCCTGATAATTTCATCGTGAATGTTAGACTGATATATACTACTCAAAACATCTTGACATTGGAAAATGGATTTTCAGTTTCAGAGTAAGCTTCTTTGAATTTCAAAGTAGGTGTAAAAAAGGGGCAAGCTTCTGATGTTGATAAACAAAAATATATAGTCTCCAATCCTACACAATGGGAAAATTATGCAGGCTAATTAAAAGGCAGGTTTTCTTGGTTTTCATTTTATGTGTACTACATGTAAAATGTTTGTTAATTCAAGTAAGATATGCATTTCTAATGTTAACATTTTATTTGTAAAACTCAGAGAACAATTTTATTAAAAAAGATATTTTGGATAGCAAATGAAAAATTTGACTCAAAATTTGACAAATTTAATATGCAAAATACTAAATACAACTAAATATTACCAAACAGAAATACTAAATACTACCAAACAGAAATACTAAATACTACCAAACAGAAATAATAAATATTACCAAACAGAAGCATGGCAATTTGAGGGTCAATGATAGATTTTTTGGAATTTAAAATTTCTTCAGCAACAAGGGTACAGCAAGAGCCCACTGGTTCAATTTTTGTTTTAAACCTAAAGAAATATTATATAACACATACAAACATACACAAATACAAATTGATATAAACAAAACATATACAAATAACAAACTGACATAAAATAATTTTAATTCTTATTTGTCATTATCTAAATGCCGTTTTTTAAATGAATAGTAAAAGAATATTTTGTAATCAGTAATTATATATATTTTGTTCAAAAAGAAAAATTGACTAAATGATGTACTGAATTTTTCAAATGTCAAAGCATTTCTGAAAATTATAACACTGTTATAAACAACAATAGGCTACTTATTAGAACAGCAACTTTACAGGAGGTAAGCGAGACTAAGTTTATAACTATATAGGATAAATTGATTTACATTCAACTGCATTCTCCATTTTCCTGTCAAATGATATTTTGCAGGAGACTAAATGCCGTTTCATTCTGTTGAATTGCGTCTTAAAATTAAAATACATATTTCTGACTTATCAGCAGTGGCAAAATTATTAAAAAAAATAATGTCTGAGAGTGACAATTTAATGCAGAATAATATCAACTACAAATAGATTACCTATTCAATTTTTCAGGCACCTCAACTGCATGATGATCGACAATTTGAATTATACAAGGTTCCAAGTATGATTGCTCCACTGACAGAGAATTGTGATCTACTAAAACAAGATTTAGTTTCTCATTTTTGGACAAGACCTAGAAAATAAAAGAAAACGTACCTATTTTCACAAAATGTTACTAGAATATAAATTAAACGATGCTACAAGAATAGCTCTTTTACCTACACAATATAAAGATATATGTTTAGATAGTCTTAATTTATAATGAGTTAAAATAATAAAAAATAAATATAGTAAAGTGTATTTTCATTAATCCGTTAACACATTAATTAAAAATAAGTAACTTTTACGTTGATTTTTTTGGTTATTTCTTCCTTTTGCGTATACAAAAACAAATAAGCTTTTGTCAACTGTCACTAATATTTCTTACATACTAAAATCTCTTCATCCCATTCCAAATTTTCATTAACAGTTCAAATTCTGTTAAGTTTCGGGAAATAATGACTTGGTAATGAATCAAATTCCTTATTACTCGAAAAACGTAGAAATCATTTTTTATGATTCTGAACTACCTCCAGCTCATATAATCAAGAGAAATTGTTTATATATTTTTTTCTTCCAATAATGATGGTATTCTAGATTTTTTATTGCACAACCATCTTTTTTTTTTTTTCTTGCGAAGAAGAAAGAGATCCAAGTCCGAAAGTTTTCAAAATCTATACCAATATAAAGCTCTGTTTTTGATCTAATTTTAATATTCATTTGCTATTTGTAAGTGAAACTAAAATTTAAGCTCAAACAAATTAATTCAAATAAGCAGAGAAATTTCAATATCTTGAAAACAAGTTATCTTGTTGAATGCATTAAGGGGTTAATAAAACCATATTCCATTTCTATAAAATGTGTACAAATAGTGACAACACAATAATGTATACTAAAATAACAATAACACAGTAAAAAGGTTTATTCAATAGATATCTGTGTACTGCTTATCATTTAGAATTCCAAATTAAGGATCTAATATATCTTCCAAGAAAACTCTGAAAACTGATGCAAAAATCAAATATCTTGTACAGAGTGAAAATCAGGTGAAGCCCAGCTTTCTTTATTTACCAATTTGAGCAAAACTGAAGTATCAGCTACAACTCCAATAAGATGAGTTTCAGTATTTTGTTATTTAACTACCTGCCATTAATTTGATTTATCACTTTTCTGTTTACTTTTCATTTGATTATTCATTATTATGTTATTAATTTCATTTTGTTTACCTTTAATAATGCCTTTCATAAGGGTCTGACACTTATAATTTTAAAAATTAACTCAAAATCAAATCTATTTTAGAAAGTAGAAAAGTTACAAGCCAACAGAAATGAAATTAATAAATGATTAATTGCAATTCAAAGCTGCTTGTTCAACCAAGAAAAAATGAATTTCAACAATATGATTTTAATATTTAACACATATTCAGAATATCCGGAAAATTTCTGAGAGTTTAGTAAATGTATAAAAAAATAAATTACATAAAAAATAGAATAATGCAAAAAAAAAAATAATTCAAAATAAGTAGCATGATAATAATTGCTAGCAATTTTTCAATTTGCATTCTGCTGATTTCAATTAATTGTTTTTATGAAGTATCATTTATAAATTACAAGGTATTAAAAACAAACTGAAGATTAACTTTGATGTATTTTATAATACAAAGATAAAAAAGAGAGAGAAATAAACAATATTTTCAGTGGTTCATGCACAATACTGAATTACATGCAGGAACTAGAAGGCAGAAATCATCCTGTGAGTTATATATACATATACTGTTTGGCACTTACACACATATACTGTTTGGATGTATTATCCTGTTGGACATGAATCCTGGCTACCACAGAACCATAACAGTTGGCAGAGATCCCGTCAAAGTCATGCCAGTTCTTTCTATGGAATTCTGAATAAACTGAAACTGCTTTATTTAACAAACAATCTGTATTCAACCTCTTCATTTTTTGCAGGTGGTAAAAAGGGTTTCTTCAATTTCTACTGTTTTCTCAGGCTTTATGATTTTATTAGAAACTATGTATAGAATGTTTTGATTACAAATTTACTGCAGGTATCAGTTCCAGTCTGATTTCTCTGTCATATTTAACTGACAATATTGTGTCCATTTAATATAGTTGATAACCTCCTACTCAGCTCAAGAACAATGAAATTATAGCTACAGAAAATTTTTATGTTGGAAATCTTTAAAAGTTATAAACTGCCAAAGTTTACAACAAAAATGAAATAAAATAAATATAAAAGTTGAAATAATATACAAGAAATGCAGATCTCCCCCCTTTTTTTTCAAGAAAAATGGTCCCTCCCTAAAGAAAAGTTAGAGGTTATATTACAACTTTACATACTAACTTTATAAAACACTAGCTAAACACCTCTAAACACTTTACATATTAAGCACAAACACCACTTAATTCAATGATTTATTATTACACTGATTAAATAAGCAACTGTCAACCCTAATTAAACAGATATAGCTAATCAATTTTTGTTCAGCACAACTGCAATGAAATTTTTCTTATGTAAAATCTGGATACTGAAAATTATAAACTGCCACAAAAGTAGATTATTATGTTATCTGATAAATGCTTCCAAACTGTTAATAGCACTTTTTTCCACAAGAAATGCGGTCTCAGCAAATCAATATATTTTAAAGTACATATAGCAATTATTTAAGATTTATAGCTTTTAAACAATTATTAAATTATTATTAAATTAATGTATTAAATTAATTTTCGTAGTTTTTATCTGCAGCATAATTTTCATCTCATTACTATTTGCTTTTAATTTAACTTATTTCATTCATTTTTTAACAACATTAATTACTTTAACATTTTGTAACATATTCAGTCTCACTCGCAAGTTGTTCAATAAACGTATTAGTGTTTTCACAATGCTATTGTCTAAAAACTTTTATAGTTTCATAGTACAGAGATGCTTCATTTCATATATTACTGTGATACTATCAAAAAAATTAATTATTAATTTATAATATGGGCTGACTTAAGTCGGGATTTTGGAACATACAAGTTTAAAAAACTTCAACTTTTAAAATTTTCCAAAAATTTTAGTTAATGTTCACTTATTTCATTAGCTGAGAAAACTTATATTTCATATTTATTTTATATTTATTATTCTTAAATAAAATCTTCTAAATGCACAACGGCTGCTTATATTCACACTGATTCAAAATAACTCATTTTAAGTTTGGTTTATTCCTCATGAAATTTTCTTTTATTCATGAGAACATCCAAAACACCATCTATTAAATAATTGAAATAAGGAAGGAATATGAAGGATAAAATAAAATTACACAATGGGTTTTCAAAAAAATGTAATAAAATATTTTCAAATATGACAAATGTCAAATAATCAGTAAAGATACGGGATCATTAAACCAACAGGATTTATATGCATGGGCAATATTATTTCAATGTTAAAAACTAGAGAAGAGAAAAAAAGAGCTTGTTATATTTTTGCCACTTGAAGGTACTTAAATATCTTTTTATAATATTTCATATTCAAGTTTTTATTATTTAAAATGCTTTGATTTTATAATCATGGAAATTTCTGAAAGAATAGATTTCTGAAAATTTAAAATCTCCTAAAAATTTTTGCTATTTTAAATTTAATAATAATTATTAATATAATTAATGATATTCTTCTGTTATCAGTAATGGATTTGGAAATGTATGTATGCATACATATTACGTATACACACAAGATGTACACATGTATGTGCCTATGTAAATATGTATATATATAGCATATGCATTAATTTTTACACACACACATGCATGCATGCATACCTTCTGAATCTGGTCCCGATAACAGAAGAGTATTTAATATTTCATACATTTTACATAATTATATGTTGGATAAGATTTTACAATTACAGATAACTATGATTAATTTATATTATGATTTATCACCTTTAAATCAATTTCATCAATAAAAATAAGATCAGAAATAGGAATGCTAGTTTCCTCCAAAAAGAAGACGACTTCAGTCCTTAGATGCACATCTTTCCGTTTAACGTTCAAAACAGGAACAATAACATCAGAAGAATTTTGTATCTACAGAAAAATAAATTATTACATGTGAATAGTATTAAAATGTTCAAATACTTTGAAACATTTCTTTTCATAATATGGCACTCTATTTTAGTTAATAAACAAAAATAGATTATTAGACTCAACTATAATTAAGCATTGATGCAGTATAATTAAGCAATTAAGAAGTAATGATGACAATTATACTTAATGTTATTATCAATAAATTGGAATTTTATGAAGAAAGATAATTTCCGAAGTATGTAGAACAAGAATAGCATGCTTCTTCTAAATTTCACGACATTCTAAAAATATAGCATCTAAAATTAGGTAAAAATACAACCTTAACTGGCATTGATTTTGATTAAATTGCTACTGATATCAATGGCAATCAGACTTAGAATCCTTTCATGAATAAAAAATGTTATCATTAGAGTTTTGCAAAATCTATGCCAATTGCTTTTCTGCCTAGTTTAAAATTTTACATTGGTGTATTCCTTATACAATTAAACATAATGTTTATTCATTATCCATAATTTTATATTACTGCTAAACAAAAGCAGGTACAAATATAAGTGGGTAGGACACCAAAATTTCACCATAGGTTGTACTGGTATAACCACTACACTAACTGTGCAGCTCTGCTCCAATTCTGAGCACATAGTTTAGCTCAGGCCTTCTTAAACTTTTTTCAGTTGCGACTCCTTTTTATCAATGCGAATTTTTTCACAACTCCAGGACCGAAAATGTGGGACCCCATAAGCATTGCACAAATCTGACACACGCGTGAGTGAAACAGTCAATTTTTTCACTTGAACTAATATTGCAGTTTTAGGTCATTAACTTTAATTTCTAATTTTAAGACATAGAACAGAAAATTTTAAATAAGCAACAGACGAAATGATAGTGTCACGTGCAAAGCAAGTAAAATAAATGTTTATATTATAAAAAGAATGCGTTCGAAACTTTTTTGTCTGTATTGTCTTATCATTAGCTATTTTCAGATACATTATGTAAAAATATTTGATAATTGTAAAATTAATATAAGTTAAAAAATATCAAAACTGCTAAAATTTTGGCGACCCCCTGCTGCAGGTCCTGCAACCCCCAGTTTAAGAAACTCTGGTTTAGCTAATATATATATTTTTTGAAGTGACTGCTTTCACTTTTCTTTATATATATGAAACAAGGGTAACAGTCTTAGTGCTAGACATTTAGCCAGCTGATGCAAACTCCGTGGGTCCTAAATTTTGCTGCTTTTGCTGGGGCAAAAAGATTAACATTTATGATCCTAAATTTTTATGGAACAATATGCAATGAAGAATTTTCAGAGTTATAGGATCCTGACATAAAAAAAATTACTTTGAAGAGCATAAATACTTGAAAATGGATGATGCATGACAACCTAGTATGATAAATTACAGTTTGTTTGTCAGAATCTCTTCCAATTTTTATGGTTGAGGGGATTTTATGAATACACTGCTGGCCATTAAAATTGCAGCACCATCAAGGAAAGCAAATAGAAGTAAGTGTGGACCTGTGCATTATCATGGTGAAGAATCCAGTTGTTCGCGAGTTCCAGGCAGATGCATGCATATTATTTCTCAAGCTCCTACAGCACTTCCTAGCAAAAATGTGCATTAACTGTCCTTCCGGGTGGCATGAACTCTTTGTGCACTATTCAATTGGTATGACAGAGGGCAGTGAGTATGGACTTCAATTTTGATTTGCTCACTCCAACCTCCTTTTGATGAATTGTATGCTACTCTGCACTCTGTTTCAGGATCATATTAAAAAAAAAAGTTTTGCACGAATAATCCCTTAGTTAAAAAAATTAGGGCCACTTGTTACACACTTCAATAATTCACATGAAATTGACTCATGATTTTCTTTTTCTCATTAGTCAAACTCCTTGGAGCCAGCTTGGCACAACTTTTCTGCATCTGAAGTTCTTCCCTGATGATTTGATGCACAATCGATTTTGTAAGTCCCAACATCTCCACAATTAGTTGGACACTCTGACAACCAGAGATCAAATGTGCTTTAAATTTAGTCATACTGGGCCAGAAATTTCAGAACTCGATGGACGGACAATATGTTGTTCATCACCGATACTCCCTCTTCCATCTTTGAAGATTCTGTGCCTCTTAAACATTTAAGACTTGGACAAAAGAATCCTTCCACAGGCTTCTTGTAACATGGCAAGCATCTCAGTGGTTGATTCGTTCAGTTTTACACAAAACTTTACAGTGTATTATTGCTTGACATTCTGCTGCATTCTGAAAACCTGATGCCACTTTGAAATGACTACTTCACAAGTAATCTGTGAGCTGCAAAGGTTCAAGGACAATTGACTTCCTGCACACTCTGTAGCTGACAGCCCCCAACCACTCATACCACCAAAAAATGCCACTCCTTTTGACTACTTTAGGTATTCTCAATACTAAAGAGTTACACCTTATCTTTATAAAGAGGCTGTCAAATTTTATAAACAAAATGGGCAACCCAAACAAATGGAGCTAGGAAGCACTGGGTTTGGTGGGTTTGGCACAAAATGCTATTTAGCAGAGGTGCCTGATACCTGACAAACTCAACCTGAAGAATAACTCCATTCCTTTGGCTTTCTGCCTGGCATGAAAAGTTAAGTCTTTTTCTGAGCAGACCTTGCATTTTGTATGAAGCAAAGCTTTATTGATTTCTATGGATTCTTTTATACCACTCACTGAACACAATGTTCAAAAGATTGAAATGCACACATTTATAAATAAACTGTGCCAATTGTTAAACTAATTGTGCATAGGCATTAACAGCCCTGAAAATGTTATTTGGCCTCTAAATAAATTTTTTTGGCCTAAGTTAAATTTCAGATTTAGTTGGTTCACTATGGATCTTCACTAATTTTCTCATTTCAGATACATTGTAAGGAAAAAAAAAAAAAAAAAAAAAACCCTCCTTCACATGATAGAAATCAAACTTCATGATATTGTCAGTGGTAAAAGGTAGCGTTTTCAAACTGTTCAATTAAAAATCTTGTTAAGATGGTTTCTTGAAAGCGGAATATACAACTTCATCAAAAAGATGGTTCATTAATTTCATATTTGTTTTTTTAATGAAAAAGACCTCCCAGGCTAGACTAGCCCACCAAAGAAAAAAGAAGAATGTAGAATCTATCATACTTTCAAAAAATATTCAACAAACTTTTTTTTAATAAATGTCTATTTCCTGCTAAAAGATTTTCTAAGAAAATCAACTAAACAACAATTCAACTTCTTTAGTTAAATATTAAAGATTCTTTCTTAAAGCTTTTATTTTATCAAGAATTATATAGGCCATTTGCATAGATTTATCCAATACATTCTTTGGCTGAAAGAAGCATGCCAAGGAAACTATCCTCCATAGCAAACAATTCATCTGTAATTTCATACTCTATTAGAGAGGAAGATGATCTTTTCCTTTGCAGTATATTACGTGCCAAACAATTTTCAATATTTTCTGATTATCAGCACTTCCACAAATAGCCACCAGTTCACTGGTGACTTTGTGAATTGGCAAAAAAAAAAAAAAAAAAAAAAAAAAAAAAAAAATTGACTATGTTTACAGTTGTTCTGTTCATAAATAACATAAAAAGGAAACATTTTATTAGGAACACTCCCCAAAAAATGCTGTTTGGCAGATAAAATAACACTATTCAGTGAAATGATAGTTAAATATAAAGCATGTAAATGCACATTTGCTCAAACACACGTGTAAAATGTGCATGTTTTGAAGCATCACTTTTACTAATGAAATTGTTATGTAATTTATTTATTTTCTGTCCATTTCCTTTTACCCCAAGGTTCACTCATTTTACAATTTACGCAGATTTGAGTAGTAAGCAGTTTTACTATAAAATTTCAAGACTAACGAACAGGAGGTTAAGAGTCAGACCTGCCTTGCTGAATAAAATCATCTGATCATTAAGTCATCTGGCAACTTTAATACTGGTCTTGCTATGAATACCATAGACTGAGCTTAGATCCTGCTTTAATAAGCGTGTGTTTAAATTTCTGTTGCTGTCTAGGCAAAGCCTTCTTTAGTCAAATTAGATTTACACAACTGAATCGATTCTGATAGAAAGCTTTGAATTTTAAACCAGGTCCAAGTTGGTTGTTAAATTTGTATATTTATTTAATCACAAATGGTGCAGTAAAATAAGCTGAAATGTTTTAATTCTGTATCTGTCCGTTTCATGGTTAGATATTCCAGCTGTAATAATTTATCTCACAGAACATAAATAACACCTTACTACCACTGTATTCATCTATATAAGTTATTAGGAACACTCAGCCAAGTGTTCCTAATATCTATGTACATCAACAAAGAATATGGATAATCAGAAAGTACTCTTTTTTTTTTTTTTCAGAAAGATTCATGCTCCAAGTTGATACTTCTAGTAAGAAGAGATGTTTTGATTACCATTTTATTTTAACAATAGTAAAATTTCTCTAAAATAAGAAATGTATTAGGCTAACCATTACGATAAACAAAGAGAAACAGAATAACATGCTTTAAAAACTTTTATCTTGAAAACAAGCATATTATACACTTAATTTAATGGTTATAGATTTAACTTAATGGTGGCCATTAGGCAACTTTGGTGCATATATCTTTCAGTAAAAAATCATTTGGTGCACCTCATTCTATAGTGGAAAAGATAAAATAGTCTATAGTATAAATATAAAGTTTAAATTAATGTCAGATCATGGGAAAAAAAATTAAAGTTACTTCCTATGAAAACCCCACCCAGCTTCATTGTAGAAGCAAAGGTATTTATGCTCTCTATCCACTTTGTAAGTCTGCTCATAACCAGAAATTTCTTGTCTTGGTTTCTAAGAAACTACTGATCTTCAATTTTCATAACATTTATCTCTTGGCAATTAATATTCCTTTGAAGACTGTACAAAAAAAAAAAAAAAATTTTTTTTTTTTTTGACCTGGGAAACCATACTTCTATGCTTATTAGACACAGCATATCAACCATTTGCTCATTTTGCTACGTTTTCATTTTCTCTAAAAAGCTGCTCATGTATTTCATATACCTTTGGAAGTTACATAGACTATATTTAGAAAGTTACTAAACAGAGAATAAAAGATATGAAATAGAAATAACAGAACCAATTTTCAATATATACAGCAATGGATACACAATAAAACAATGAAATAATATACATGATGCAATAATCAATCATAGACAATTAACAGAATTTCCATGACTAAAATTTAATATTGTATACAATTATAAAATTTAATATTATTATATAACATTACTTAAAATAATTTTAATACTAAAATTTTACTTTTCATTATTATGCTGCATAATTGGAAAGAAATACACATTTTTAATACACATAAAATACACGGAAATATGTCTCATACATCAAGTCACAATGATAATGTTAAGTATTTACGTACTTTGCTTAAGAAATATGCAAAAACAATAGCTGAAACTGCAGAATCCAGGTCACAAGCTTCATTTCCAAGAACAACATTGACTCGTATGGACTCATTTGCATTTTTCTGCAGAATTAGAATATAAATATATTATATATGAAAATTAATTTAAACAAAGTGATAAAAAGACTTTAAATAGATATTCTTTATGGGATTGAAAATTAAGACAAACAGCACAAGAAAAGAAAATTTTTATTAAGCACATTCTAGATACCACTTTGTTAATAAAGACGTCACTTCCTCTATACAATTAAGTGCATGTGAATCAGTGATATATTTACATTCATCCATTCGCTTTTTTTTATTAGAATTGCATTACACATAAAATATAATTTCTAATATTCTACACTTGAAATAATAACTGGTTAAAAATTCGTGACATTATAGCTAATGTTGTATGGGTGGTAAAATTTCTCTAAAACAATGTCCATTACAGCTACCAAAGAATTTTCAAAAACTTAAACTATTATTTAGCAATTACACACCTTAGATATTTTTCATTATTAACTAAGCTTCTTATATTACTTTTATTGACTAATTTCACCATTTAGCAATAAAAAGTTGCAGTCATTCCTAAGAAAAGCAACAGTGGAATGCCAAAAGTATACGTATGAACAAATTTCTAAAAAAGCGCTTTCAGTTTTTCATAAGCTCATTTGGTACTATTCTGTTGTTGGGACCAAAATCAGATATCGCCCAAAGCTGATCATCTGGCAAAAAATTAGAAGCACAAGAATAATTGATAAAATATCCACGATATGGTTAAGCTGAAGAAAAATCAAAGGAAAAAATAATATAACAGATATTTGTAAAATTGGAAATTTTTAATGCAAATTAAACAACCTGACACAGAAATGAGGACAAACAAAACAAAACAAACAAAAAAAAAAGGTTTATGAATAAGATTAATATGAAGGCATAAAACTGTTGATTGTCTGAAAACATTAGCATTTTAGGATGCTTTTGCCACCACACAAACTCAATTCAATAAGAAGCTAATCTGCCATTTTGCACAGCCCATAATCTTTTTACTAGTTTGTATATGAAACAAATATCGGGACTGATAAAATTAGAGTAGTACCTCTTGTAAGGGCCACCTCTATTTAAAGGACAATTGTGTTAGTCTCAGTCCCTTTGAATAGTAACATATTCACCTCTTATAAAAAGACATTGAAAAAATGTTTCAAGAATAAGATAGAGGTAGAGAAATAAATAAAAGAATAGAAATATACACTTTGTCAGTAATCTTATGACATTCTTTCAGTATGGAAAACAGCAACATTACATTAAAAAAAAGTTGCAGAGCAATCAAAAGGATATTTCAGAATTTTAAATCTAGTTATTCTTGCTACAGCTCTCACCAGAGAAAAGAAACAGTGTTAGTAAGTTGTTAGGCAATCCAAGACAAGGACCAGTGGGAAAGAAAAAGTGGTGAGATGATTGGACCACCAGCCAAGGTACAGGAATCTCACAACATGGACAAAATGAATCTTCTATCATTCTTAGTTCTTTTTTTTTCATTAATTCATCATCATCATATTCGCGCAGACTGTCCCAGTCCAGTATGCGAACAGTATGCTATTTTTACTGCGATTTTACGAATTATTCAGGTACCTTCGGGTACAAAAAATATCCTCTTATAGGACACAGGATGACGATAGTATGGGATTGGACAAATCCAGATTTTCTACGAAATCAATGCCTATGAAGATATCGGACTATGTAAAATCCCCTAGGAGGAAAATAAAGAAAATGAAAAATTCAAACTTCGAAAAAGTGAAGAAAAAATCTAAACAGAGAACTCTTAGAGAAAGAAAAGAAGAAAATGAGAATAGAAATGGGATGGAAAGAACACTCACAATGGCTTTATGATAATAAAGAAGAAGTTCTAACTCCAGAATGAACAACGGAAAAGAAAGGAACCACTCTTTCCCAATATGAAACTCGTAAGTAATGCAACTCAATCCATCTCTAAAGAAAAGGACTCAGAAAAGAATGCTGAGCCTTGAATTTCACCACGAAAGACAGTGGAAAGGCTAAAAGAACAAGAACAGATGAAAATCACGACAGATAACTGAGTCGAGAAATTAGATGAAAATCCGACTGACCCAGATAATGAAGAATTACACAAAACAGCAGAAAACCCCTCTCCCATAGTTTTTCAGCAGGCAAAAGTTGAATGGCTGATGACTAAAAAAGAGCACAGTAAAATCTTAATGAAGAAATAGAAGCAAATATGAAATCTGATTTAATTTACGTCAACGTAAAAAAAACGATTGATGACTACAAAAGCGCCACGAGAACCTTAGAACGCAGAGAAATTCCCTTTCACACCTTTTTAATGAGCAAAGAGAAATCTATTAGAGTTATCTACCTCCATGAATCTCTGAAGAAGCTGTCTTCGAAGACCTGGTAAGAAGAAAATTTCCTATCAAAAAAGTGAAACAATTCAGCAGAACCCGCAGAAATAATGTCGAAAAACTGCCAATTTGGCTACTAGAGCTGAAAAAGAATAAAAGTGGTCATGCAATTCACTCTCTAAACACTATGTTTAGCTTGAATATTGTTATTGAAAAATATAACCCGAAAAAACGATCGATACAGTGCTTTAGGTGTCAGGAGTGGGGACACTCTCAGCACCTATGCACAAACCAAGTCAAGTGCTGCAAATGCGGCGATCAACATCGAAGCAACACATGTCTCATGAAAAAAGAAGAAAAATGAACCTGCATTTTTTGTAAAAAGGACCACGTCTGCAGTTACAGAGGGTGTGAAGTCTATCGTAAAAAATTCGGAAGAGAACCCCTAACAGGCCACCAGAATTTACATGGAAAAAAGAAGACTTCCCTACGCTAATCTCAGAGAAAAGAAATGAAAATCAAAACTCATCAAGACATTCAGTCAATGATACGCCACAGAACCAGCCCAGAAAAATCCCAGAAGAAATGTCAGAAGCCATGTCCTGGCTAAGAGACGCAAAAATTCAAGAACTTCTCAGCAATATCATCGAGCATATTGAAAAAAATCAGAAAAGTGAAATTTACAGCAAAAAAACTTGCAGCCCGCTTTAAAGCAGCCATGTTCCTGTTAAAATCTGCAGAAGAATAATCATGAACTTTTAAGATATTTTCGCAGAACCGATGGATTACTTGGACTTTATTTTATTTTTCAAAAAACTTCAATTTTCATTCATTGCAAACATTCCTGTTTCAAGATGCATCTTTCGGGGTCAGTACTTGGGTGGGTGACCACTCGCATGACTGGCCTCGACGAATCAACTTTCGACACTCGGAGAGGAGGAGTATAAACGGAGGAGAAGAAATTTCTTGCTTGACTTCGAGGCATTAACTCACCTTAGGTCAGGGTCTACTCCTTCTTCAACAGCACTGCCTTCACGACTATGACTCTCTCGCCTGCAGGTGTGGTGCTAATTGCACCTTTGATTATTTTAACTAAAAGCGATTGGCCTTTGGCCTTACCTGAATTATAGGTAAAAACTCATTAGTAGTTGAGACTTAGAACTTGAAAAGTATGACCTTGATATTCTTATTTCTTGTTAGTGCTGGGGAGCAAAACGTTTTTTTGATACAAAAACAGACTTTCATCAATTTTGACAATATTACCAGTGCTGTCTATTTTAACAGAGTCTAGACTTCAATGCACGGCCGCAGAATTCCCTGATATAATTGCTCCAATCAATAACAGTGCAATGATTCATATCAAGTTGACAATGACAAAATTCAAGAGAAGTTAATTTTAAACACCATGCATAAATGAAACAAACTGCCATTAAGAAACTGATTCTAGATCCTTCAAACCAATTTTGAAAACAATCATTTTTCTTCTTGGCATGCCATGTTTTCACATCTCTACTTTGGTGCTACTTACAAATTGAAGTAAAGCTGCATTTTAAGTTTTTGTGTACTTTCTTTCACAGTGAATAATTCCTCTTCCTCGAAGATGTTTTATCATTGGTAAGTCGCATTTTCATATACATGGCAAATACAATAATAAAAACACAAGTGACCATTATATCTTTAGAATTTGTATTCTCACTGCTAATTTTCTTTTACTTTTTTTTTTTTTTTTTTTTTTTTAAGCAAACACTGATAACCTCATATGAATCATGTCTTGGAAAGTTTAGTACATCCAGTGACAACCCGTCTTCAAGTATGGAACTGAATTTTTATAAAATAAAATAAACTGTGCACTACATTTTGGCAGAAAATCTCTCATTTTTAGATCAAAGTTTTTTTAACCCATCTTTCAACAAAAATTATTTGAACTATATTTAACACTAAAACAAATAACTGTCAAACACAGATATAAATTTTTAGTACTTTTCTATTAAAGCCATATCATGCGTTTTGGCTTACTTCCTTCCTTATGCCTTTGGTTTTATTCTAGTTGAAGTATTACAAAATCTTCTAACAACCTATCTTAAGGGAAAGAATTAATCAATATTATTTAGTAAATAAATTATTATTAACTTACTCTGCAGCAATTGCGCAAGTAGTAGTAACTTGTTTTCGCACTAAATGAATTTAAGATCATACAACATATGGTAAAAGTTTACAATTGGGTGCCCCTTGTTTTTCGGCGATTCTTTTTTGACGCCAAGATCGGCACCAGGAAGACACAATTTCAAAATGGCCGCTACACAAAACCAAAATAAGAAGTCAAAGAATTGCATAAACTCTGTGTCCATGCACACATCGATCTGTTTTCACTTAAAAAAACATCCCAGAATTGCACAAACTAGGCATTGTGCACTGCTTTAAATTTGACTATGTACACATCAATCTATTTTTATTAAAAAAAAAAAAAAAAATCAGGAGGCTAAAGCAAAGTTAAACTATCATGGTAACCAGAAATGAGATTTCATTGCCAAAATTTTACAAAAAATTGACGCTAATCGAAGGGGCACCCAATTCTACACTAGAGTCCATTATATATATTTATTGTCAGATAACTCTCTTCTTTCAATCAACTGCTCTGCTTGTTTGAAACAAACTTTGGTTTGCAAAACTCACCAGATGTCAATTTGTCATACTATAAGTAAATGAATCATATCTTAATTATAAAAGGAATGAATGATTTAAAAAACCGTGCTTGCATTCAAACATTTTTCTTCATCTCGGCATAACCAAAAACAGCATCCATATTTTAACTGCAAGTCATTTCAGTTTCATGAAGTGATTTTTTAAACAATCATTTCTTCTAAAGAACATGCCTTAAAGAAACAGAATATTCAGTTCTTCATTTCACAGCAAATCTCATGTTGGGAAATGCATTACAGTTAAAAAGGAAGAAAAAAAGAGATTGATAAGAAGAAAAAATATGATTTTCCAAACAATGACTTAAAACAACCAGAACAGGCAGCAAACTTGTAACACCTGGCACCAAGAAAGCATGGGGGAAAGGGGAGGACAAAAAAAAAAAAAAAAAAAAAAAAAAAAAAAAGTAGAAGGGCTTTAATGGGAAAATATAAAATTTGCGAATTATTAAACTCAAACTAATATTTTAAATTATATATATATTACATAAAACTACTTAATAATTTTCAAATGACATCTAATAATAAAGCCATGATAAACTAAAACAGTAAAATTCTGCTTATTATTTAATTATATATATCTTTATATACAGCCAAGAGATATATCAAACAATAAAATGCTGAGTTAACTACTTAATTTTGAGAACAAACTTAAGGGGGGATGACTTTTTTTAAATGTGATGTATTACTTTTGAAATTCTCTTTATTTTGTAACTTTTGATTAAGTGGCTGAAAATTTAACTAAAACTTGGATCTACACTTAAAATACCATACACGTAAAAACCTGCATTTTTCTCATTTTAAAATGTCTTTGTAGAAATAATATAAATCTTATGCCCGATTAAAAACATATTATAATATATGAGTTACCTCCTTCCTAGTGCTTAAGTGAAAAGGAAATACATTTGCTCAAGGTCTGATACTTAGTTCAAATGACATTTCACATTCTAATTCCTTTGATTATATAAAACCATGCATGCTTTCATAAAACATTCCATATAAAGGCTAAATACTCAAGTCTATACTTTAATACAGCAGCTGTGAAAAATATTTTTTCAAAACTTTTCAATGATCAAATGCTAAGTGAAATCAGCAATACCAATTTAAAAATTACGCAGTACTTAAAATTCAGAAAAACAAATTAGGGAGAATGGCATAAAAGGAAAGCATAAATTAGTATTTATTGATACGAAACGCAACTACTTCGTATTATCTTATGTTTGCCCTTTGACATGTCGCCTTGAGTATCATAAAGGAGCTTTTAACACTATTACAGCTGATGTGTCGACAAGAAACCGTTTTCTATTTACAAAGCTTAGTATTCTGAAAATCTAAACGTTTATCTGTTTACATGCATAAGATTTTATAGTTACGCAAATGAACGTCTAATAAGACAAAAGTCTAATAACACTGTGCATGAGTTAATCTGAGAAATAATAATTTTATTCCTTCACCTTCTGCCTAAGAAGCACGTCTGTAATATGAATTGCTTTATGGAATATCTCTGCTTTCGATAAATACACCGTATGAAATTAAATTACATATTTTAAAACTATATTTTGCGGCCAATATCCCTCAAATACAAACATGTATGACAGAGAAAAATTCACAATACCAAATTATGCTTGCATTCCTGCAAGTAAAACTCCATGTTTGAGTTCCGATAGAGATGGAGAACTTTTCATTCAAGTTCCTTAATATTTTCCAGTTCAGGTTTGTTTTCGAGGATGTAGCAAAAACTGACCACCCACTTTTCTGCTTCGTGGTTTTCAATATCGAAACCCACGGAAATAGAAACAAAACAGTGTTGTCAATAGCAGCTAATTTAATCGATATTGTAACCTTATTAAATTTTACACAAATTAAATTTTTTATTTGAAGATAATTTTTTTGTCATAGAATGTTACATACAAAAATATTATTTAAACTTTAAAAATGTTATGAACTAAGATAAGCTGTGTAAGATAAGCCACATTCAGCAAGGTACTGGTCAGTTATCGTAGAAAATTTCCTAAAAATGGCAACATTGTTGTTTATATTTTTCTTGTGACCAAAGATTTTGGTCCTTTTTCAGAAGTGAATATTTTGTTTTGTAGTAAGTATTTACGATATAAAGTGGAACTGTGTAATAACTGTCTCAATTTTTTGTATACGTATTTGAAAATTTGAGCTCAAAAATTACTTGATGATTTTATGTAATATTGATTATTTTCTTTTTTCAGTTATTCCATTTGTGAAATATGTCGGTTCATTCGGCTGTGAAAGGGAAATTAATAGCAGTTATTGGTGATGAAGTAAGTATCTGAGTAAATTCATTTTCTGTGATAGCACACGCTGCTTTATATGAGCGATTTTTAAAATTAGGCAAAAAAGCAACTTCAGTTTGGCGTAAATTTTGGAACACTCCCAAGTTTCCATAATTTTAATTTTGCATTGGCATGGCTCTCTCCCAGTTTGATATGAATGATATATTAGCGAGTCAATAAATAAACTCATTATATATCTCAAAGAATGAAATTAAATGATCTGTGGTGTTTGTTGCATGTTGTGAATAATGTTTGTTCATTCTGCTGTAAAGAGAGCATACTAGCACTTATAATGATGAAATAAGTGACAGTATAAATTCATTTTCTGTAACAGCGCATGTAAATTGACTGATATTTAAAATTAGCCAGAAAAGTTAGATATTGAAACACATCTAACTTTTTTGTAATAGCATTTGGCCACCTGACTGGTTTAATGAGGCTGCCTGTCATAAAGATGGGCCCGAGCTCAAATCCTGAAGAAGACATGGATGTTTGTAAGTGTGTAATATTTGTATGGCATGAGGGCACTCAAGACAGCCAAAAGCCCTCATCATTGGTACGGTGATAGAGAATGAAGGATGGGAGACTCTTGGATTGCCCTCTTAAGGGTTTTATGTTGAAATTGGGGCTAAGCTGTACAGTTAGTGTAGGACCATTGACAGCACAGAGAGGAGGTGAATTGATGCACTTTGTGTAATATGCACTTTGTTTGAAAAAAAACTGAATAATGAATAAAAGCATAAATGTATGTATGTTTCTCACATTGTGATAAAACAACGGTACCTAGAGCCATCCAATTTTGAATGACGTAATCCTGCTGCAAATATGGGCATCTAGAGCCAAGAGATATATCAAACAGTAAAATGCTGAGTTAACTACTTAATTTTGAGAACAGCTCAAATTTTAAATTTTGAATTTGTTTTATCTATTTCATATTTCGTAAAACTTTAACGAATTTTTGATTCAGAAACTCGAGGATTTCAAAGCAAGCAATGGCAACATTGTACAGAAAAAACATATTATCTCCAGCGTGCAAGACCGTGTATCGGAAATTCTAAAGATAGGTTCAATTTAAAATTATTTTGCGACATTGCTTTTGAATTGAATTTTATGGTTTAAGTGCAAAGAACATAATATTTAATAAATAAATGTAACACACACGACGTTAAAAAAACGCCCGTTTTCGACATAATTTAAAATCTGAAATCTTTCAAATTCCCCCCCCTCTATTCTGCTCTTTTGTGTTGTCATTGGACCTTTATAATGGTCTTTACAAATGTTTTATGCTGTCAATTTTTGTAATACATATATCGTTCCAATGCCATTTATGGTTTCTTAGTGCACCTATAATTTGCACAGAAAAAATGGAATGTTCCCATTCGAAAATTTTGAAATGTTTTCACTGTAAGCATAATTGTATCTATTATTTTATGTCACCACAACCTTGAGCATATACCTTCAAATAACATTATCTGAAATTTCCTTTCGATTGGTTGAGCAGATAGGTGGCTAGGGGTTCATATTGATTTTTTTATGACCACTGTATATGTGTACGCACACGCATATATTATATATTATATATATATATAAAGTTTAAACTCTTTAAGCTAGTAGGTCCTCCCTAAAAATCTTGTATTATTGACTAATAGCAATTCGCTATTTATTTTATTTTGTACATTTGCCTAATCAGGCCAGTTTGTATAGTTTTTTCCTTACCTCATTAATGTGTTTTTCATTGTAAGTGTGTAATATTTGTATGGCATGAGGGCACTCAAGAGAGCGGACCCGTGGGAAATGAAACAGAGAAATTGAGACTAATTTTTTTATCTGGGTTATTTTATCAGTTAAATATTCAAAAAGTTTCATGTACAGTCTGAATTTTCTGTTTTAATGAAACACGATATGGAATAGCTGGACTTGAAAACCATTATGTATTTCCCCTGAAGAGTCAATAATGAGATTTGAATTGGGCTAATTTACCATTTACTGCTTTTTTGCATTTTTTGTATTTTTGCTTATGTCTTATATAATAATTGTATTTTTATTCAAATGTTTAAAGCTTGTCTTAACTTTAATCAACATATTACAGTCAAAAGTCACTAATCCGGATCTCAAAGTTACAAACTTTCTGCGGATTCGTCAACGCATAATACGTTCACGTATGCGCGTAATACTTTTATGCATGCCTGTGCAAAGCATACAATACTTTCTACGCATGCGCCGTTTAATGTATAACGGACGGTATAAGCTAAACTAAAATTATCTAATTATCTATTTCAGTTAATGTTGCAGATTGCGTTGTTCCTTAATCTTCGAATTGGATCCGGCTTATTATTTTTTGCAGACTGTTAGAGCAATTTTATAAAAGTAAGCTTGAACTTTCGATTATGTCAAATAGAATTTCCGATGCTGGAGCTGCGAAATGATCTACAAAGCGAAAGTATGTTTCGGTGTCCATCAAACAAAAAGTGGAATTGCTGAAAGAAATGGATAAAGACATATATCCTTTGTTTCTCTAACCATTCCGAAATCTGTTTATCAATTCAACGCTGCTTCGTGGGGGGGGGGACGTTGCGGCATGCAATGAACTGGAAGTTGATCTGTCAGCACTATCTTTATCTTCAGGGCAGATGTTTTTATTTTATTTGGCTTATAATTCCTTACTAAATGTAGTATTTCATCTTGATGTATTCCGCCTTTGATATGATTTAAATCAAATTCCTCGTCATTATAATTCACTTCCGATAGCGAAGAAAGTGACACAGAAGTTATTGAAAACAAAAAAATTTCGATTGACAAATTAGTCGGTATTCTCGACACGGCAATTATAGGACTTGAACAGCGGAATTTTGTAACTGAACAAGAAATTATGACTGTTTATAGAATTAAAGAGATAGTATTATCACATAAAAGGGAGCAACTTAAGGTGCTACTTTGGTAGACGGTTGCACGGATTTTTGGCGATTTACGTTGGCGCAATTGTTGGCGCGGTTTTTACAGTCGTCAGCCATCTTGAAAAATGCTGTTTTTACGTATTTCACGCATAGTAAAGTATTCGAAACTCTAAAAAAATAAATATCGTTAAATATAATGGATTAATTTTTTGTTGAAAACGTTGCTTTTTAAGATGGCTGGTATTTAACATTAAAACATATATGGCAATAAATATCTCAGGAATTTTTGAAAAAAGTGTATTAATTTTTTTAATAAAAATTGAAGTGTACAATAATAAAGTAAAAGAAAAATATGTACTTACATTTTTTTAAGCATTTTACCTTAAGTATATTGATAAGTACCAGAAAAAAAAACGATCTTCATCTGTTATTCCCATCACTCGCACTTCATTGAAGAAGCAATTAGCGAGGTTTCTTCAAAAAAATTTTAATAAATTTCCTCTGACCCTTGTAACAATAAATAAATGTTTGATTAAGAAATCCAGGTTGGCCAAAATAAGGTCTCAAACGGCAATTTTTTTATCCCAATACCAATAATTCTTGGTAATTACCACTAACAACATTTATCTTCAAAACAGAGACATCCATTCGCTTTGAAATCTGAGGAATTCGAAGAGATGAATAATAAAATTTTAAAATGGCGCGGTAATGCACAAATATTCAGTAACCAATCAGGGAGCTGATTACATCACGCATAGAATTAAAATTAGTTAGATAATCATTCATGATAAAATCATATTTAAAAAAATTGCAAAATTAAATTGTATTTTAATATTTAACAGCCATAAGTAATGTTTAAAACATTAGATTAAATTTATAGATATTAAAACCAATTACTTTTAAAATAATGTGACGTCATTCATCACATCATTCACAACATAAAATATCCTAAACAATAAAATTTTTATTTCAAATAAAACATGCAAAATTAAATTCATTTTTATTATTTTGAAGTCATAAATAATATTTAAAACACGGAATTTATGCATAATTAAACGCATTATTTTTTAAATAAAATGACAACAAAGTATCGGTTACCATAAACAATTTGTCTAGCAATGGGTTTACCATAAGTCGTATTGCTCGCCGTAAAACAATCGCCAAAATCCGTGCAACCGTCTACCAAAGTAGCACCCAACTTAAACAACTTACATTGAAAGAAATGTTTAATAAAGTAAACAAATAAATATTAAGCTTTTTTTTATAAATTTTGATACCCTTTAGATCATAATTGTTCTTTATTTCATAAATTACGGTTTCATATTTTTAATTTTATAATTTCTGCATGCCATCTTATCAGATTTAAACTGATGATCTATAATCTGGAAAAATCGATAATTCGGAATCGCCGAAGTCCCGACGAGTCCGGATTAAAGACTTTTGACTGTACTTCCAATTTGATTTGAGTTTTAAATACGCTTTTTTATTTGTAATTATTCTAGTGATAATTTTGTTTATTTTGTATTTACACTTTTCATTGCACTGTATTTTAACTCATGTTAAAAAAATGTTTCGCCGGAACCACAGTATCACAACAACTTTTAAGCAGAAGCATTAAGAATTTTTTTTTTTTACCTTGTTTTCTAATTTTTGAAGCTCAGTGCTCAAAATTCTTGACCACAAAGGTCTTTTTTAGTTTGTTCTCCTTTCTTAAATTATATATATATACATATAAAGATTATTTTGGCTTTTTTTCTTTTTTTAGGATTTAAATTTGCTTTTTTACTTTTATACGTATTTGTTAAAAATTAAATTTAAATTTGTTTAAATAAATATTATATATAATGTATGTGTTTCATAAGAAAAAATAGTAAAGTTAAATGAATGAAGTTTGAATTTAAAGTAATTTAGAAACCCTTGCCTATTTGAAACTTTCAATAGGCAAGGGTTTCTAAATTTTGGTTTTCTACTCTTAACTACATTGGCTATTTACATATAATTAATATTTTGATTCCTAGTTAATTTGCTTACTACATTTCTTAAAATTCCTTTAGTTAATTTTTATTTTAATAATTCACTACATTTGGTTTTACTTTTGGTTTTGAATATTACTATACCCATGCCTATATGGATGAGGAAACACGAATTAAGTAATTGAAGAGTTAGGTTTGGAGGTAACTTCTCCTTGATAAGATCTGTCTCCTGCCTGCTCAACAATTATTCACTTATGCAAATTAATCTAGTCTTAAAAATTCTTTAAAACATTTTTGGGATTAATTTTTTGGAATATTAAATATTTTTTCATGGTTTTAGATACTTTCACTTAATTTACATATGCTCTCAGAATTTAAGTGATATTGTAAATTAGTTTGCAGTAATAATTAATTTTTTAATTTGTATGCAATTAAAATTTCACAATTTAAAGTTCAATTTAAATTAGCTTTATACGAATAGATAATATTTGTTATATAATGTGTGTGTGTGTATAAAAAATGAGGTTTTTTTTTAGGAGCACTTTCAATTTTTATTAGTTCTGGGAATTTGCACATCTACTACTATGAGATGACACTTCATAAAAGTTTTGGCACTCTGAAATTGAAATAACCTTTGGATGATTGTTCAGGGCCTCTTCAATGTATTTTGTGGTTCTGAAACTGTGTCTAATTTTTAAAATCTCTAAATAATTTTCTAAAATTTCTAAATAAGGCAAGTCGATATTTCCTTTGCGTAGATGCGATAAGATGCATTTTACTTTTTATGTTGTTTCATTGTTTGATTTAAAATGCAGTTTATTGAGATTATATATATTTTGTTTGGCTCTAGTGTAGAAATTGGATGCTTTTTCGATTTTTAAGTGAAAATAGATCAGTGTGTACATGGACAAAGTCAGTGTGCAATGCTGAGTTTGGGAAATTCTTTGCCTTGTTATTATGGTTTTGTGTAGTCGCCATCTTGAAATTATGCTTTGCTGGTGCCGATCTTGTCATCAAAAAAGAATCGCGGAAAAAACAAGGGACACCCAAAAACAAACATTTAGCTGTTGTTTTAATTATGTTTTATTGCATTCTATTTTGGATGCCATTTTACTGGGGAGGGCATTGAATGTAAACAGGAATGGGGCCAAAAATATTGCCAACTTTTCTACCAAGGGGCACCCTAAAACATATTTTTACCGATGGCCACTGCCTCCCAGTTTTGGTGACTGACTATGATGGCTATTTAAACTAATAAGTTGCACATTACAAATTTAATGATTAACTTTGACAATATTGGTGACAAATTGTAGTGACTATTTTATTAAAATACCATTTTTAAATATATGTCTTGTAAGGGAAGAGTATTTTGGGGTTTTAAAACAAAGAAATACCTTTATTGGAATCTAGAGATTTTGAATAGAATAAATGGATAATGCTTACTCTGATATTTTTATATTTAATATTTTTTTGGAAATTATATTTTAGTAAGGTAAGTATTGCACTGATAAGTATCGTAATTTTCTGCAGAAAGGAATCTGCTGTTAAAAATTAAGCATTGCAATTTTTATTATTAAATATTTGGAAACAATAGTTGCAAGACTTGGTACTATATTTCTTTTAATTTTTTTAAAAAATTTGTAGGATACTTGTGTGGGATTTCTCTTAGGTGGCATTGGAGAACTGAACAAATCTCGACAGACAAACTTCATGGTTGTTGAAAAAAGTAAATTATTTCAGTATTTTTTTTCCTCTAAAAAATATTCAAAATTGGAAAATCAATATATTTAAGTTATTAAACACTTAAATTGCTTACTGTAAATACGGTACAAAATCCGAGATCCGAACTCGTTGGGACTTCGGCGATTCCAGATTTTGGATTTTCCAGGCACTAGATCATCAGTTTAAATTTATTAAGATGACATGTAGAAATTATAAAATTAAAAATATGAAATATTGATTTATGGAATGATGGAAACATTTATGACCTTGAGGGAATCAAAATTTACAAAAAAGCTAAATATTTGTTTGTTTGCTGTATTAAACATTTCTTTCAATGTAAGAAGTTTAACTTTCTTCATTTTATGTGCTAATATTTTCTCATTAACTTGTAGGGTTTATATTTATTTTAACTAACATTTATTTTAAGTTTAAACTATCTTTCCTGTCAAGCCTTACTTTCCCCTGGAACTGCCAATGCCAGAGTATGTAAATTTTAGTAGAACGCGCAAGGATTCAAATTATTAGTGGAAGTATTCTAAGTTAAATAGAGTGGAAACGAGTTCGAGGTGTGTGCTGTTTTTACTTCACGAGTGCGGAGGTAGTTAACGAGAAATTGAAGAACCCCGCGTTTCGGCCTGTGTGCTTGCCTCGGAGAATTGTTAATCGTTCAACGTGATATTCAAAGTTTGCTGAATTAGCAGCGGTATTGTAAAACGCGGTGAGGTTAGTTACTTTTAGAGAGCCTCGTAGTTAGAGTCTTGTTATTATTTTCTTTTCAGGTTCTTATTTTTATTTTATCGCCGGGTCGGCGTAGTTTGTGAGCGTCAAGAGCACGCAATTGTAATTTCTTAAGTTGAATAAAAAGGGACTTAAACCCTTAGCAAGACTCTGTCTATTTTCCAGTTTCAACAGTCACCTCTTGGTTGCGTGCAGGTTGGAGGCACGCAACTCTACAAACTCTTTAGATATACATAATTTCTTGTTCAGTTACAAAAGTTCCATTATTTTAAGTCCTTTAATTGTCACGTCAAGAATTCATGTCATATTGTTAAATCTAAATTTTTTCGTTCTTAACAACCTCTCTGTCACTTTCTTCACTATCGGTAGTGATATAATGTGGATTTAAAGCCATAATACAAATTTCACTGTCCATTAGTTGATTGCGGCATTATCATTGCAATGAAAAACTTCTGTTATATCATCTTCATTTATTACCATTTCTCCGCATTTCTCATTTTGTTTGCGGTATCTGAAAATCCCAAAATTTTTGGCTATCATCATAACACTTACCTAGCATCTGCTATACAGTATGGGTGATGTATCATGAAATTGATGGCTAAACACATGTTGTTCCAGTAAGTTTTGTCTTGCTTCTGTTGCACACTGATGAAGTTAAGCCTGGATTATATTAGTTATTTATTATATTTGCAACTATTTCTCATAAACGCTTCAGCCCTATGTGAGTATTGAACAAATAAACCACCACATATATATGAGGCTTTATCGAGGGCCAGTGCTAGATATGTTGTGGCCCGGTGTAGTCTCTGCAGGTCTGAAAATCTGCTGCCAAGCTCCTTCTTAAATTCTAAAAATTTTGTCTCACCTAAACTCTGCCCCCTGGTACAGCTGCACCAGCTTTGGCACCGGTCCTAGGCTTACAAATCAGTTATTCTCATTTCAGACAACACTAACTGCGATTTTTTGGCCTGTGAGTAACATTTACAAAAATCTTTTTTTTTTTTTTTTTTTTTTTTTTTTTCCCACATGGAAAGAAATTTCCATTAAATTTCACTTTATCAATATACTCAGCACATTGTAGTGAAGTTAGCATACATCTGTAATCATTGTCAAGTGTAATTTCAGTATAAAAGTTACTATGCTCTTTGGTATAAAAATTATTTAGGCATCGCTGCTTGAGTTATTTCACAAACAGCAGTCTGTTGGTAGTCATGCTGGGACGAAAGCAAAAAATAATAGAGAATGATTTACCAGGTTAGGATCAGTGCCAAAGTGAACTTTCGGCATGTTTTATTACGAAAAAGTGTTATATGTGCATGCTTAAAGCATTTAAAAAATTCTTAAGGAAGAACAAATTGCTAGTGATCTGGAAGTCTGGATTTTAGATCATTCCGGATATTAGATATTCAGATTTCGGACTTTGTACTGTATTCTTAGTATGCATGCGTCGGTTTATACTTTGCCAAACTCTTTAATCATAGAACCTATTTTATTTCATGTAATTTATTGAATATTATACTGAAAATTAAGGAAAATAAAATTATTAACTTATTACATACTAATGTTCCCAAATAGGAATATGAAGTTTAACCTTTTGAGGCCGGGGCTTTGGTAGCAGTAAAAGCTACCAAAGGACGGGGAATCTTGAACCGAATGCTTTCCTCCCTTTAAGAAATCAACTCTTATTTGCAACAAAGATTCTTGTGTGTAGTTTAATGGATTCTCAGAGGGGTGCATCTATGTTGCAAAAGGAAGACCTTTGAAAGAGATATAATGTGGATTTAAAGCCATAATACAAATTTCACTGTCCATTAGTTGATTGCGGCATTATCATTGCAATGAAAAACTTCTGTTATATCATCTTCATTTATTTCTCCGCATTTCTCATTTTGTTTGCGGTATCTGAAAATCTCAAAATTTTTGGCTATCATCATAACACTTACCTAGCATCTGCTATACAGTATGGGTGATGTATCATGAAATTGATGGCTAAACACATGTTGTTCCAGTAAGTTTTGTCTTGCTTCTGTTGCACACTGATGAAGTTAAGCCTGGATTATATTAGTTATTTATTATATTTGCAATTATTTCTCATAAACGCTTCAGCCCTATGTGAGTATTGAACAAATAAACCACCGCATATATATGAGGCTTTATCGAGGGCCAGTGCTAGATAAAAACCCCAGGTTAAAACCCCAGGGATGTCAAATTTGACAGTTTACTTTTCTGCCTGGAAAATGGGGGAAAAAGACATGGCCACTAAAGTGGACAACCCCGTCTTTTCAAAGAGAGGACTCTATGGCCACTATAATGGCCATCCTGGCTTCAAAGGGTTAAAATCCAATTTGAAATAAAGTTTTATTTACACTACTTTCTAAAAATTATTACTTATAATCAAACGCATGCTTGATTTTTGGCATGAAGATTACAGTTTAGAAATAAATTCTGTAGTGTACAGAAATTTATAAAGAGCCATTTTAGCATTTTTAACATTATATTTCTTAAAAATTTCTAAAAAACAGAAGGGAAAAATCAAAATTTAAAAATAAACTAGTAATATCAATAAAGTTTGCTTTAATGAAAAGACATCAATTATTAAAAATTCTGAAAAAAAATTTCCTTAATATAAGAAATTAAATTTGTGTGCTCCCAAATGGGACATTGGCCTCTTTCATAGTACAAAATGCTACAGTTTTGTAAATCACACTGCTTTGCTGAAATTATAGAAAAATCTCATTTAAAACTTCTGTTGCTTTTGAATGTGGAGCTGTACGATACAGAAAGAGTTGTTTGTTGTTTAGTCTTTTCTCATCTCTACTGTTTAGAGAGGTGGGTGGCAAATGAGGTGCAGAATGTTTATAGGTACATCTGATAATCTCTTGTTTATTTCAATGGAGACTTTGCTATGTTATGCATTTATGAAACTGACTTCTGTATGCCTGACATACCATATTCGAAGTGATTTTTAACATTTGAATAGGTTTATTTTAAGATTTTATGAGACAATTCTAATGAAACTGTTGTTGATGTCTGTCAACTGCCTCCGGATAAAATATAACTGATGAAGAAAACATAAAAATACTCTCAAATCCATTATGTCTATAGATCTGTGTAGACAAATAGAAGTTTCCATTGAACATATAAATGATTCTGACGTTCCTTCAGCAAAAAGCAGAAATGATTATCTTTTAAAGAACAAAACATCAATTATTGATGGAGAAAAACTACAGCTTTTCAGAAAACTATTGGACCTACAGCTATTGAAAATATATAGCAGAATTTTCATTTTTACCAATGGATTATTTTGCCCGTGTGGCAAAATGATAGAAATGTGAAACACCAGATGTTGACGAAAAAGATATAGGTCAGTTTTTCGGATTTCTCTTATTTAATTTATATTATAATTCACCAGGTGAAGAATTATATCGGAGCTTGCTTGAAGATCTTATGATCCCAATTGTTATTTCAGTTATACCTAAGAATAAATTTCAAGAAGTTATACCTAAGGTTAGACTTCAAAAGTTTGGAAAATGCTTTTATATCATTCATGATATGAAATTGGTTCCTAGTAATAAAATGAGAAACATTTCTCCCATTTATGAAAAATTTCTATCAGTTTGTCATATTATTTGAAAAACTCAGCACTGATGAGTAATTGTTGCTTTATTATGGTCACTTTTTAGCTAAAGAGTTCGTCAAAGGTAAACCAATATGTTACGAATACAAAATCTGGATGCTTTGCTCGTCAAGTGGATAAACATAGATAATGGAAGAAGTTCTGAAAATGTAAATTTACCTCTGGGATCTAGTGTTGGAACATTTATCTCATGTTAGAAACCTGAAAATACATGAAATATTCTTTAATAATTTTTTTTATATCACGTAAATTGATGACTGAATTATCTGATAAAAATTTTAAAGTAGCTGAAACAGTTCAAGAGAAATGAACAGGAAGATCACCCTCTGGAATCTCTTAATATATAATTTCAAAGCGACAAAGAGAAAAGTTTGATTTTTGAAACTGTAATAAAGTATACATATGTCACTGGAAAGACAGTTCCCATAGTAATTACAGGGTTGCCACTGAAGGAATGGGAGGTGGAGATATACTAGATCCACCTCAGTTTTGGTGTAAAAAATGGTACTGGAATTTATTCAACAATATGTTGAATATGCAAATTGTTGCTGGATGGCTTCTGGATATATATATATACATACAACCACAGCTCAAGTACTGTTTGTTGCATCTCAGCTCTCGAAGAGAAG